TTCTTCCGTCTGGTCCGTGAACCGCTCACAGATCTTGACTTGCTATCTTTCTTTTCCCTGTCTTTTTTGTCCTTCTCCTTCTGCCTCTGCGGAGTTCGGCTCCTTGCTCTCCTACTCTCTTCTTCCTCCTTCTTTTTGGGCAATGTCTTGCTTCCTTCACTCTTTGTTACCTCTGCTACCTTCTTTTGCTCCTCCTTCTCGCTGACTCTCTTGCTACCTAACTCTTCGCCTGGATCCTCTGCTTTCTTTCTTTTTTCTTTTGAACTTTCCTTGGGAGATCTCTCTCCCTTGGTGCTCCTCTCCTCCACCACTCGCTTGGGAGGCGCCCCTCCCTTTGTTGGCTCCTCCTCGTCCGATTCAGGAAAGAGCCTGGCGATGGAGTAGTAGGCGGAATCCAAGACCTTGGTTACTTTGGCCTCAGCTTCCAAGGTAGCCGGCAACCGATCGCTGCCAGCCGCCGCGCGCAACCGCTCGATGGATGCGCAGACGGTACACTGACCTGCCAGAAGCCGCCACTTCTTGCAGCGACTGCAGGTCAGCATACCCTGATCTCGAGCCCAAAGCTCCGTGGAATGCGAAACTGATTCGTGTTTAGTTATGGGGGCATTTAACCATATCCCGTGGGATGTATTGTTGTCCAATATTATCTCATGTATCCGTACTTAGTAGAATGATTTGGTCAGTGCGGATCAATTCCTTCAAACACTTGCCAGAATTCATTGCTTTTGTCTTGGCTTGGAACTTCAGGAGTTTGACTGGGTGCCAAGCTGATTCCAGCAGATCTTTGGGCTCTTTAGCATCGTCCTCCAGGAATGCCAAAAGAGTATATCTTTGCAATATCCTGCCAGTCGCGCAGCCAGGTACAGTATATATATATATATATTAATATGTTGTAACATTTGGTGGTTTTGGTTTGCCAAATCATACCAAACATGCTTGCCTGCCAGGTATCGTAAAGACCAGCGAGCAAGAGTGGTGCATGTCCATCAGGCCTTGCTGGGAAGCACTAGGCAGCTTCTTGTCTCCTAGTGGCTTCTTGTTCCTAGTAAGGCCAGGAGCCCCTAGAGTAGCATCCTTGCTCCTAGTAGCGATGCCAGGAGCCCCTAGTAGCTTCTTGTTCCTAGTCTCATGCAACACAGGTACCTTGGGTGGAACGTGCGGTTTTCCTCAGTTTATGTTGGTACTGATCTAGCTGTTGTTGCTTTGACATCAAACAGCCAGCCGGCCGTCAATGTAATCCTTTGGAGAACATGAATCCAATTTGCAATCACTTCAACCCCAACATCCTCACCACAAAAGTTACTTCAAAAACAAAAGCGCCATCAGCCAATTTCTTTGGACTTGATTCAATCGTCACAAAAGGTGAAGTTCTCAAACGAAGGGGAGAAGAACTCAAATGGACTACAAGAACAAGAGCTGAAAACAAGAAAGGCATCCCGAACAAGAACGAAGCACTTAGAGACACATCGAAGAGTGTTGCAACGGAACCATCGCAAATGCACAATCTGCTTTCAAGAGTTATGCCAGCCAATTCATTCTCCATCACCAACATCAGGGCTCAAGGCATCAGAAAGAGGTACGATGTACAATGCAAGCCTGCGTAACATGAGAATGTCATGGGGCCTGTCAAGGTCGTTCGTTGTGTCAAGTGGGTTGGATCAGGTGAGCAATTGGTTTGATCGGGATTGGATCAAAGCTTTGGCGAACGATCCATCCAGGGTTTCCGGCCATACCCATATGATCGCACCCACTACTAATGTCTACCAAAGAGCTGTAAACTGTGGCAACCAGAAAAGGAATAGGTCATTGCTACAGTGTTACTATACCTAATAGTTTGTCCAACGATGCTGCCATGCATGAAACATGGTTTTTGAACAAAGACTGTTGAATGCGAAGGTGCCGGGCACAGCAACTCATTTTCAAGAGTTGGTGCCTTCCCTCGCCTGTTTCTCTTCCACCCAATTTGTCCTCTTCTTTACAGCTACTTCCACATCCAAGTTAATGGTTTCCGCAAAACGGGTTTCCTCTTCCTTCACAGTTGCCGCCCCCATATCCAAGTGGAAAGGCTTCCGCTAAACTGTATTCTTCTTCGTCTTCTTCTTCTGCTTCTTCTTCTTCGAGATCTTTGAGCATTGCTGCCGCATCCAAGTTGATGGCTGCCGCTAAATTGCTATTCTTCACTCTTATACTTGACGTCCAAGTCTGTGCATGGGCTTCCAGAGCAAACCTTCCAAAATGAAGTTTCTGGTGTCCACTTGTTCATTTTGGGTAGTGGCGGGATTCTAGCTATCAAGCCTTCCAAAATGGAATTGCTGGGCGCCACTAAGCTCACTTTGTGCAAAGTTTCTGGCATCCACTTTGTCCATTTGGGGTGTTGTGGGGTTCTGTAAGGCAAGTCTCAAGGGGCGCAGTTTCCGGACACCGCTGGCCTCATTTCAAGCACCCGACTTCCACTAAGTCATTGTGTTGGCCCCCTTTTGCACCAGAATGGCGGCGCGGGACCCCTAACTCCATCAAAGCAGTAAGCCAGTTAACTCAAAAGACCTCATACACATGTTTAGCTCAAATTGCTCCTTGGGTTGCACAATGAAGCTTCTGGCGTCCACTTGTTCATTTTGGGGGTGGCTTCTGGCTTCTGGGTTGCGGCAACCTTGCGGAGTGACGTTTCTGGCCTCCACTCTGTTCACTTTGGGGATTGGCGGGTCAAGCCTCACAAAAAGGAGATATATACTGGGCGCCACTAAGTTCACTCTGGGCGGCGAGAGGTTGTGTGTGAAGTTTCTGGCCTCCACTTCATCCATTTTGGGGGAGGGGCTCTGTAAGACAAACCTTAAGGGATCGTTTCCAAGGTTCCACAGCAAGCAGCTTCCACTAAGTCATTGTGTTGGCCCCCTTTTGCAGAATCAACCATGTGAACAGTAGGCCTTCACCAACCCAAGCCTGATCCAAAGGGTGTGGATCAACTGAGTGATGTTGATCCAGACCCTTTGGGTCAGGGTATAGATCGAGTGTGGGTTTTGGTACTTGATCATGCCTTAAAGTTTCTGGCCGTAGCCATATGCATCACTTTTTGTGCATACATCATACATCAAGCTCAGGATTCTAGTGCAAGACTGTGCCTGGAAAAGCAACATCTAGCTTAGCCTAGTGTCTACACGACCTGAAGTACCTGAACGGCATCTTGCAGCCCTCGGAAAAACATCATGCCACTGACTCATCAAGAGGATTGACTTCAAATGGATGTGTATTTTCTCTCAACTTGTTGAAGTGATGATGCTGCCTCTTGCGTCCTTTGTTAAGAGCATGACTTCTCTTTCTCATCTTCATTGGCCTCTCAATCAGGATGCTAAGGGCTGTAACTTTGCTAGCTAAGGCCTTAGGCTTCTTGATGTCCTGCCTCATCGGACACCCATGGAATGACGTGACCATCATACCTCAGAAGTTCACCGTTGTAGCCGGACGACAGGTGAGTTGTAGCCAGCTCGCCACTCTCACCGTTCGATAACAGCAGAACCAGCAAATCACACACACAAATCTTTTGCTCAATGAAACGTCAATCATCGTCATAGTCTGAAAAGACTCTGCTGAGCATCTAGGTGCTCCATGCACGAAACATGATGATCCATTGTCAATGGTAAGATTGGCACTCATCCTTGTTTCGGATGAACATCGGTATCTTCGTCTTTCCGTCTGCATGTGCCTGCGATCAAACAACAGCTTTCATTCGGTCACTCGGTTTTACTCTCACGTGAGCCTCACGTAGTGCAAGATATCGTTCAGAATCAAGTGCTCTTCTCTGGGACATCAGTGAACATTGGAAAAGAAGTCGTTGGACTCCGTTGGACATTGTTACCCAAACAAACATGTTTGAAAGGAATTCAGCCCTGATTGTCATGCACATTCCAGCCAAGACTCCAATGCAGCTCAATGTGCCACCATGTGCCACCTTTTTTCTCGTTGCATCCCAAAACCGATCCAAAACATATCACAACACCGATAAACCGATCAACATATCCAAACCGATCATCCTTCTCATGTGCCACCACATATCACCACTCTCCATCCACTCGGATGATCCGCCTTCCATTCGTAGAAGCCATCGAAAAGAACAATGCAGCGTCGCGTGTCGAGCAGGCGCCGCCAGAGGTTTCGGGTCTCGGCGCCTGCCGACAGGGGGAAACCCGGGGAAACCCGTGGGCGGTGCCGAAGGCGGACCTGGGACGGTTTTGGTATATTGTTTTTGCGTTGCAACTCCGGTGGCCAAATTGGCAAAGAAAAGGACAGGGGGTCCTTTCGGGAAGGTTGAAGGGATCCACTGTACCTTTTTTTTTTTTCCTCAACAGGCGCTAGAACTTCAGTGTTTCACCCCACCAAATTCCTGGTCACAAGATCCGCGCGGAGAAGGCCTTCAATCCGAGCATTGAACGTCGAACTGCCACCTTTGAAGGCATTGAAGTCCTCAAAAATCACTGGCGTATTTGGCCAGGCAGTGTGGAACATCAGGAATAGACAGAAGACAAACTTGCCACCCCACGACTCAATGACTTGAAGTGACGAAGGAAGCGATCATGAATCAGCAGTATGACAAACACTACGAATTATTCACAAATTGAGAACGTCCAACCGTTCAACCATTATTTTATCAACTGCATGTATGGCCCCTAAACCCTAAACCCGTTGTGATGGTTGCATGCATTGCTGCTGTCGGTGGTGAGAATGGAGCCAGGGCTTTCAAGCAAAAACACAAATCTATATGCCCAGGTATATATATATATATGTGCTTTTGAGTACATGCCCAGATGGTCGGTGTAAATTAGGTGACATGTCAGGTTGTCCAGATCCAAGTACACCTCAATTTTAGCAGTAACCTTCAAACGCTTTAACCGTAACACAGCTCTGCACAGTCTGCCTTCTGTGCACAGTCTACCTTCAGTAATTGGACAATTCGCGAATTGGATCTCAATGCAAGAAGACTTGTGCAAAATTCGGCTGCTACTGATCTGCCCATCTTACAAACTTTACCCTGCACATGTCCTCTTCCTGCTTGGCAAAAGAGGGTACTAATCCCCAGCGCATTGCGCAAACCTGGCAAATGCTCAGGTTTGCCGTCGCTGCCTGAAACCAGTTGTGTCTCTTCTTGCAATCTTGGACTACCACTGTCAACCAGCATTAAACTCGAGCTTGGGTTTCGCTGATGTTGCACACATGATGTTTCACCCTCCCAATCAAATAGAGATGTTTGAAAAAGACTGAAACAAACGTGACCATTTCTAGGGGGTTCTTCATCACTCGTCAACCCAAGTCACTTTCAAGAGATACCACGAGATTCCCCTGCCCACCTCGCGATCTGGACTCGCATAAGGGCCACCTGGTGTGGTTCTTTAAGATTCCTTGTTTTTGACGCAACAAAACAAACCAGGCAAAGTCCAAGATCTACCGCAACCGTGCTTCGTTATGCTTTGCGATCATGTCATGCTTTTAAGTCAACGTTGATCTTCTCACTGAGACGAGAAACGGCGGCCGAGGTCATGACTCCCTTCAACAGATCGCACCACGGGGACATAGTTCATTGGTCCCAAGTTGTACCTAGTTTGCGCCACTTTAAGGAACTCACCGACTCGACGCGTTCTTTACGAAGCAGCTGGCACTGCTGTTCTGCATGCGCAGCGCATGCGCAAGATCTCCTATGCCTCTTCATGGAAAAAAAGACTCACAAAATCCTACCGGGCACTTGGTCTTCAGCTTCTCAGCATTTCGAACTTTCGTGTGACCTCCACGGCGCGCCTGAAGCAAATGGTCGATGGTCGTGCACAAGTTAGCCACCCTGAAGCAAACTTGCCTAGTTTCTTCTCAACATTAGGTTGGAGGCCATCGCTATCAGTTTCTTCTCAACACCTCACCCCCCTTTCTGCCTGAAACAGCAGGTCTAGACAGTCATTCGACGTTCCCAGAAACATGCTGGCACTGGAGAGCGCAATCCGAACATGCAGACGTTGATTCCGAGCCGTGGATTCTCCGTAGCAACACCCAATCTTCTGGGCTTTCCCACGCCCCCGGCCACTCTTCTGCATTTGTCTCCCGAGAGCGTCAGCCTCGTTCTCTTTTGCATGATTTTCCTCTAGTCTTTGGCTCATCCCTGCAACCGACATGATTCCGACTCATTCGAGAACGGACCTTTAGTCTTAGATAGTCTTATTAGGTGCAGATTCGTAAGCAAGCAGCAAGCTATAATAAGCTATATATCATACCAAGCAATTTGATCTGGAAAGCTGGGTGCATGGCGCTCCACGTCCACACATGGCCAAAGCTGGTATCTACGCTCGTCCTTTTGATTCAACGGCCCTCTAGGATGCTTTGTGCAGTCCGTTGGTCATACATTCCCTTGATAGCTGGCAGGTCTTGCTGGCTGTCGACACTTCAGTCTCCATTATTCAGGGTCCTGTGCTTTCAAAGGAATGCCATTGTCTCGATCAAATGGCCATCATCGCCCCTCTATCCACTAGAATTGGCCTGCCATGCTGACTACTTCGGTGTATCAGTGCGGCAGAAGCTAACAAATGTCCTTGTCTTGTGGTGACACATTAGCTCAGGGCTGAGTGTTGTGGGTTGCCCACAACCTCAGCCCTTGAGATGCAGAGTTTCGGGAAAACACAAACGCAAGAAATGAACAAGTACAGTATAGCGTATACTATACAATTGAAATTCATTGAGACAAAAGTCCCCCCCAAAAGGCATACTTGGTGGAAGAAGAACTGTCCTAAGCTCCGCCGATTGCCATCATTCTGCAAAACCACAGAGCCTCACTTTCTTCGTCTCTTGCCCCTGCTGTCGTAAGTATCTAACCGTGAAACAAGGTTGAATGTTAAGTTTTGCCTCAGCGGTTCGCCTCATTTCGCCTCACCTTTTCAAAAGCTCCAAAACAATGCCAGATCTTCGCAGGATACACGGGGCATCCACTCCACTACTTCCAATGTCAGAGTGTGCGTCAGAGTGTACTTCCAATCAACGCAGGTCGCCCTTTTTCGCTCTCCACACATCTCCACACCTTGTCACTTCCAAGAATATCGTTTCCGCTCTGCGATGTCCCTGCGAAACGGGTCCAGCCCTGACATCAAATAACATACACACACACCGTTTTCACTCGTGCGAGGAGAGCTAGGAGAGGAGAGACTTGTGCGGCGGGCGTGACCCTATGTGGATGGCTGATTGTTACAAAAAGGAGGCCCGATCTAGGGATGCATCGCAGCCTTGTGCTATCCCAATCAGCAGCGTGTTTCTGCCGTTGACCGTCGATCATTGCTTTGCAAAGGCAATCTTGAGAGGCATCTCAGGGGTCACCTTAGCGAAAGGTATAAATACAGGACGAAAACAACCATCCCCTTCCCAACTGCTTTATGTCGATACACAAGATCAATCACGATAATAGATACAGAATAATTTTGATTAACCCTCGCAACTGGGGCTGCAAATGCATCATTTCATGTTCGTCTTACAGTAAACCATTCGGTGTCTGGGGATGAGCAAGAAGTGCCCCCCTCACGAGCAAGAACATCAAAGAAGAATGTAGGAGCAATCAACCGACATCAAGGTTCCCTAAAAATCTAGGAGCCAAATTAATAGTGCGAGCGCTATCCTGCGTCCTAGGTAGTAGCTACTTAAGCCGCTAGCTACCCAGCTTCTACTAGCTACCTAGCTACTACCTCTATGCTTGTCCAAGCCGCCATGAACCCTTGAAGCCCGTGCTTGGCAATGCCTGCCTGCAAGAACGCTGCACAAACACGTCTTTCCAAGAAGGACGCACCAAAAACACCAGTCCTAAGAGCAATGGCCTCCAAACGTCCCTTCTTGTTTAAACACTTTCTGGGACCGTTTTGCTTGTCTGGCTTGACCACATATGCTTAGACTGTGTTCTTTTCCTTCTCCCGTTTTTGATGCTGGCAAGCATGCTGGGTTCGCATGGTCCGGATGGTGCTTCAGCGGGCTCAAATTGAAAACACCGCTCAACTTCGGTGTCAAGGAGGACACGGGTCTCTTCCTAATATCTTTCTCTAGTTGGAGACCTGTCTATTACACAAGCTACAAGTTGCATGGACAAAGACTCGTTGGGGATGGGACAGTCACAAGGACAAAATGAACCAAGCAACAGTGAGTCGGAATCGTCATTCTCGCTGAGTCTTGGATCAGAACAGCATCCACGTCTGACCAACACCATCTCCAATTGGTCCAATGCAAAAAACAATTTGACGAGCAAGGTTTCATGGAGGAACCAGTGGCGCTGTGTGGGAGGTTTGCTTGTTCGTTGTGCTTCGGCTAAAGGCCCTCATTGTTCAATCCTATTATCTCCTCCTCTCACAGTTTGGCCGGGCACTCCACCAGTTCATCCATGTTCATCCACACCTGTCCCGCGCCTGCAGCTCGTCGGCGTACTCGATGAAGGCCACATTGCGACCCTTGATCAGTCGCGCCTGTCCAGCGTCAACGTGGATGACTATAAATACACACGTGTACTTCAAAATTGAACAGCCAGGAATTGGGCAGCTTTCAGTCTGGCTCTGCATGAGGAGAATTCAGTCTGGCTGGGGTTCCGTCCGCCTCCTGGAAGCCAGGATACTGTCTGAAGAGCATTGTCAACATGACCTCGTTGACCTGCGGCAGGTCTATTTTCCGGTGGCGACTGCGGCGGCATTTTGGATTTCAGAGGATTTTGGGGCACCACAAGAAAGGGCTATGGAATTCCATCTCATCAAGCAATGCCGTGCCAGAAGGTTTTCAAAACTGCTGGAAACCCTCTCAGCATCGCAAAGTGCATTCGCATCAACAACTTCAAACCTTTTTGGGCCAGAGGCTATGAAGAAACATAGACTCGGAACCGCGCTTCGACCGTCTACGGTTCGACCGAAGTTCTCCGCCTCTGCCGGCAAGTTCTCCACGAACAGCACGTTGGAGGATTGACCGTCTGCCGCATCACCCCTGATCAAAGCAAACGACCAGTCGGTTTGGTGTCGCAGGTGTGAGGTGTTATTCGGGGAGAATGACCAAGTATGACAATGAACCACAGGGGTCCGAAGACCCTTGGAAGACCAGGTGGACATGGAGGGACTCCCCCACCAAGCACCATGCTGAAGCTTAGAATCTGCATGCTTTTCACATCCTGCGCCATAGCTCTGGGGATTCCAACCCAGCAGGATGTGCCGCCATCTTAGGCCTCAGCTTGCAGGAAACTTTCGCAGGTTGCTGATGAACAAAAAGTGAAGACCAGGTGTTTGTGGTCCAAGAATCACCCCTGAAACTCCTTGCGGCAACCTACTTCCAAAGTGAACTCCTCATACCGCGTACACATCGGAAAGCAGCAAAAGGTTCCCAATAAATCAAACATTTGAGTTTATCAACCAGCCACAAATCCCAACAACCCGTTTCCAAACAAAGCTTCCCGGCGCCACAGTCTTGGGCGGCACAAGAGCTGGTGTGGTCTTTGGCCTGGGGGACTCAGTGCACAGTTCCACCACAACCACCTCGATCGTCGTTTCGTGGATCTGACACTGACCGTTGCCTTCCGCAGGGAGTCTCAATTTCAGGGGCCACCAGTTTCAATCTGACAGGACGAGTTAACCTTTCAGGAAGTGGGCTTGGCGGTGGTAGAAATACAGTTTTATATCATATACTTATACAGTATACATAAAGAATACAGTATATCAATGTAGAATTGGGAAGATTGACATTCTTATTCTCCATATTCCAATGACTCCAATGCACATTCTGTTGCAAAGACCTGGCCTCTTAGCTTCTTCCTTCTGCGCCTCAAGCTTCGCGCGAGGCTTCCAAGTCCCATCCTGACAGCAAACACTGTGATTACTCACTGAAGCAACAAAACACTGAACTAAAAGAAACAAGGAACAGGGCAAACTATTTCAAGATGAAATCACGTGATTCCAACTGACTCTTTGTCCTCATGGGCTACGATGTCTGACTTGGTCCTGTGCGGTGGCTCGATGCAGAAAATACTCACAATGTTGATGCCATTTCCGGACTAGATTAAACCAATATCGTTTGACTTGGGTTCTCGTGCACGCAACGGACAGTTTGTATCTTACCTTCAATGAAGGAATGATGCAACAATCCGCTGTCACTTCTCCGTGTTCTGTGCGCGTTCTGTGCGCTTTGGGTCGCGTGCTATGAACACTATATATATATATATGGTTTTATGCAAACAACCCCGTGCGTGCAAGCTGGGATCTCCGAATATCTTTTTCACTCTTGTGGGAAACGCAAACTTCCACTTCCACAGCAGCATTCATCTCAAGCAAACATTCGCAAGATGTCTTAAGCGTTGTGCGCATGGAAACGAATTAGCGGAAGACAACGCAACAGGCTTGACATTTTTGTACCAACAAACAAATTGTCCCAGCTACTGCATAACCCAACGACCCTTGATTGCAGGGGCTAGTTCCGAGAACACGCGCAGCGCACTAGTGAGGAGGTGCCCCAGGTTTGAAGTTAATGAGGAAACTATGGTTATTAGTAGCGAAGCACTTGATACTAATAGCGATGCACTTGTTACTAATTGCACTTTTTTTGCCCTTCGTCCCGTTTGTTCCCTTTGAATCTGACCTGTTTTCCATTTCATCTGCAACCGCACCATCCGTGTTTCTTTTCATGTCTTTCCTGTCTTCAGGTCTCGTCATCTCATGTTTGCTTCTTGTGCGCATACCCCTGCCTGGGCCCTAGTGTGCACGTGTACATGTAGAGCCACACTAGGATGATGCGCGGCTCATGCTTGTTCAATGAGGCGCAGCTCATCTGTTTTCCCCTTTCATCGCCTTCACACGCACACAGATGCACCCGCTGCGCACCTTTTCCATGTCTTCTCTTCGGGTCTGTTCATGTGACTTCTCTTCCATACCCGTGTCTGTTAGGTTGGTGTGCGGGGTTCACACTGAGTCAACCTCTTTGTTCCGAGCAAGCCTTTCTCCTTTAGGGTTCACCTTGTTGTTCCAAGCTGATTTTGAGATTGAGTCTGAGGCTTGTAGCCCCCAGAGGTAGCAATGTGCGTAAATTGCAAACGAAGCCATGCTGCTGCGACTCAATAGATCGACAAGGGAGCGCGGCTTGATTGGGGAACCGCGCTCGACGAAGCTATCACAGACACTGAGTTTTGATCAACTCCAAGTACTTGTAGCCGGACCGTTGTGAATGACATGCGGTTAAGCCTGAAAATACGTCACGCTCATGTTCATGTCATCCGATGTCATCAGAGTCATTTCGACGGTGTCACGATCAGGTTCATGAGCAAGGCCACCCATGCAGGAGGGACTATACCACAAGGCTACTCGCATCCTCTCACCGTGTGCATGGAACCCTTGGAAAAAGCAGGGCTCCAAAGCAGGGGGATGGAGAGGACATATGAGGCACCATCAAACTTATTGTTCTTCTTCAACAGAAAACACGGGCATTATCGGTTTTGAGTTGGACCTTATCGTTTTACAGGGTTTCATGCACAAACCTACCCCCTCTTTACTAAAGTTCTATTCGCATGTTTTGATCGTGGCTCATATATGAGGCCCCATTCAACGAAACTCCTCATATGCTCCGTTTGGATATCATCAGGGACGCCTGATGACGTCCATGCACCTGTTTGGGTCGGCAAGTCACGTGTCGTGGAGAGTTTGGGACTGACCTTCGATTTTGGAGCTGGAGTAGAGCTGTTGGGCTTTGGAACCTTTGAGATGGTAGTCGGTTCGCTTTTTCACTTAGGCTTCTTCTAGGCATTTGGCAGCCTGAAGGACAAGGTCTTATCTGAAGTGTGTGTGACGCCTTTGGAATCACCAGGGACTCGTCGGCAGTATCTAACTTTTTTGTGCTTACTTGTCTCTTTGCAACAGGGTCTGTGTGAACACTTGGGAATGACAAGGAGCGTTAACTTTGTTTGTGCTTACTTGTGTATTTGAAGCAAAGGGGTACGGCGCCAGCCTGCAGTCTGGCGGTCATGTGTCAGTCCTTCTGGCCTGGTATAGTTTTGGAACCTGGTCTGGTACAGTTTGGGACAAGGTCTGGTACCTGTAATTTTGGAAGCGTGCATCATTCCTTCTGGTCTGGTGAACCACGTGCCATTCCTTTGGTCTGGTACCTGGAAGCATGTGCCATTCTGATTTACTCGCTTTGTTTAGGCGTCTTTTTCCACCGAGGCTTGTTCGGGGCATGTAGCATTCAGACCAAACGCACAATCTTGCGAGCTCGGAGTGAGCCCAAAATAATAGTGCCTCCTGTCTTCACGACCTGTCATTTCATGCCTTTCTATCTTTTTCATGCACATTGGCCTGGACCTTAGCATGCACGTGCACAGTTATATACATTGAATTGGGTTGTCCCCGGTGCCCCTGGTCATCGTTTTAGTGAGGTTCGGTTGTCCCTGGTCATCTGGTTTCCTTGTTAGGTGCCTCCACCTACATGTCTTTCATGTCTTTTCATGTTTTTCGCATCTCTTCATCGGTCTTCTCTTGCCGCCCGCACATGTGCCCGCCATCGAGGTGCGTTTGTGTGACACCTTTGGAATCACAAGGAGTCTGTCGGCTGTACTTATACTATTTTTTGCACTTACTGGTATCTTTGAAGCAGGGGGTACGGCCTCCAACGGCCAACTGTACGCAATTTTCAGCCATGTAGTCTGGGCTCGGGAGGTGTATGGGGACACCAATAGAACAAGAACCTGTCTGGGCTCGGTCTCTTTCAGCTCTGGCGGTCCTGCAGTAGTTGATCTTCATGGGCTTATCTAAGAAAACAAAGCCATTCAGCGCTCGCAGCCTGTGCCGTGGCTGCAGCATGCAAGCATACAAACATATACAAACACTAGTCACTCATGGGCTATGACACCAATGACGAGTAACAATGGACACCTAAAAGAACACTGAAGAGCACACGCCCCACGTAATCAGTGATTGCAAAGTATGCAAACATGCCCTGTCGCCATGACCCTCTCGTGCCCTCTTACATGTGTTTCCCCTTCGTTTGCTCCATCTGAGTCTCTGCACGCATTGGTCGCGCACGAGATATCCCTAAAGACGACAAAGGCCTGGCGCGAGATCTCTCGCCGACCCAGAGCGCACCGAGGAATCGAGGAATTCTCTGTCGGCGAGATTCGTCGAGAACGGCGAGTGAACGTTCAAAGATCATTCTATGATCTATCTGACTTATTGATCATAGATCGCATAGTTCTATGGTCATAGAATCTATATGAATCTATGATTATCTATGACCTATGAGTCAAGAGTATGGCTTTCTGGTCAAAGAAGACAAAGCGCATCAAGCACTTGCTACAATAGAAGTCAAGGAAAATGAGCTGCAACCCGATCGGACTGGCAAATTCCCTCAGTGATTGCATCAGATTGTCCCTGGTTTTGCAACTTGGCCAAATGGGCAAAAAGGTCGACAGCAGCTTGAGGGATACGATTGATGTGCATCGCTGGTTGTGCATCGCTATGCCTGACCCTTCTTTGTCAGGCTTCCAGCTGCAACAATGTCAATGACCTTTCGGCACTGGCAAAAAGAAACTCGATGCGCACTGTGGATGGACTGGGCTCTGCAAATCTGTCAAAAGAACACGGATGGATTAGACATTGTTACAATATCATATCCTGGCACCATCTAGCAACCATATAAGAATGGAAGTGAGCGTTGCAGTACAGTTCTAAAGCAATTTTGCATCGTTGTGTGCGCGTGGTTCCACCATGTACGTGCCCGAGAGCTACTGTCCAAGACGAAAGGTGCCAGAAAGCCCTGAAGAATCATGTGGCCAGGCATTTTCCCAAGTTGTTGTTTTGTGTTGCATGGACATTCGCACCTCTCCATAGCTCGAGAAGAGCTCCAGAAGGCAGTTCTTCAGTTCTGGGACTTTGATCTTCTCATTCAAGTTGTTCACCTGGCATGAACATGTCTTTGTCATTGGCAAAAAGTCATAACTCTGAAGAGACAAACATGCACTGCCTGCACAAACATCAATATTTGAGTTGCTTTTCAACAACCAAACACGACCATGCAGTTTGTGTGAGTCAAATGTGAGTTTTCTTTCATGTTCAGCTTGGTAGGCACACAGTAAATCAAAAATAATCAAAATATATACACGCACGTCGATCAGAATGGAGAGAACACTCTGTAAACGTTTGGCATGACAAATTTGTTTGTGCCAAGCTGTACACAGGATTGCCATGGATTGACAAGCTTGATCCACTTGACTTTACAACTGGTTTCTTCTTGTGACATCGGATGTTGCATCTGCAAAATGTTCCAAGAACAACACCCGACTAAATGACGCTTCACAATGGCACCGGCTTGTATCAACAATTCTAGGCTGACCGAGCTTTGAAGGCTTCAAGAGCCAAGCTAAGTTTGTACACGAGGAAGCCAAATCTGGCAACCACTACTCGTTTTTCAATAACCTAAGGACCTACGGTGACATAAAACTAAATGATACTAAATGTGCATTAGTCGTGTCGGATACCCCTCGCCAAGCATCGTTCGGATAAGTTTCAACCACTCGTTCGGATTAAAACACACTCGTTTTGCTTGTTGAGTTTGGCTATCGAAACAATGCAGGGGATGACATAGAGGGTCTGGTTTGGCGGAATGTCACCTGAGCTCTGCAAGATTTTTCAGAACGTCGGAGCCATGCAGATTCTGGGCCAGTTTTTTGCAGAACATCGGTTTTGCTCACCACCTACACAACTCCGGAAATGTCTGATGTCACTCATATTCATGGAGCAAGGACACTACTAGGGGCTCCTGGCCTTACTAATTCATGATCTTGAACTGGGACAGCGGCCATAATTGATGCCGCCTTTCCCTCCAGGCCGAAACATGGCTACCACCGCCACCCTCCACGGTGGGTGCTGAGCAATGACTGCAGAATGTAGCGAGAAGGCGAGAAGCAAACTTTCTGTATTTCCTTGCAAACGATTAATTGATGTGGCACTGGATTTAAGCTATTCTATCCTGGATGGACACAACACCGAGGAAAACAAAGAGCTGCCTGATTGCACCAAATGCGTACAACAACTATCAAACTGACAAGCATTGAATCCGTCACGCACTACAGGTCCAGTAGTCCATTTGCTCGCTCGCATCGGCATCAGTCGGTGTGCCCAAGAAACATTGGCCTGCACTGACTGCAAGATCAACAAGTGTCTGTTCACAAGTAGGCAGGCTACGAGTGAGAGGGCATGATACCATACTATGACAACCTTTTGATACCTAGGTAGCCCGCAGATTCTTACAATTGCCTGATCTGATGGATGGACATAACACGTCATCTATATAGTTTGCAACAAGGCTGGCCGTCACCTGTTGTAATTGTTCTGCTCGTTTGGCACAAGGATCACCCGCAGCGGCAACGTATGAAATATCTCTGCAGCCTGGAAAGGCCGACACATTCGTTGTCAGAGTGATTCATTCATGATCGTTGTCAGAGTGACTCGATTTCACAATTTCCTGCTCCTCCTCCCCCTCCTTGCTACTATATCTACTGCAAACCTGCGATTTCGCAACCCGAATCTACGAAGAAAGCTACTGTTTGATGACGAAGCAATCCAACAATAACGAATGCTTTGCTGATCTTTGCTTGAACTTGTTTGAATTCATAGCCCCATTCAACATGTTGATCTCACTCCATTTCTCACCTTCAACTGATGCTCTGGGCAGGACAATGTCAAGATCTTCAACGCTTTGGGCTGTGCCAAGCACTCAGCCAGTGGCTTCCCAAGAGCCTGGAGGGCTGGCTCTTGAAGGTTGTCAACATTGGACCAAGAAATCTGACACTCTGGAGGGGTCAAACATCGCCTCCCAACACCCGGGCTATGGACAAATGGCCGGGCCATGTCTTGCCATGTGGAATGGGCCTTCTTGGACCCCACCGTGGCCCTGGCAGCGTCATAACAGGTCGGAGTCCTCGAGCCAGTGATGTTCGCGTTGAGCATTCGCAGTCACATCCAATGCACGTAAGCTGGAGCAAACAGCCGCAGCGGCCACCAGGCGGCGCCTGCGAAGTGACTCATGTCCCGAGGTTGTGGGATGTTTTGAATGAAAGGACTCTCAGGTCTCAGGCTACGTTTTTCCAACAACGAGCCTAGGACATTTGTTGCTAAGCACAACTTCTTCGTTTGCAGGGCATAGCTAAGTTCCTGACAACCCTTCCAGCCCAATGCCAGCACGATAAAGGCACAGGTCCTGCCAACTCTCCCGTCCAAGGCCCGGCGCTTTTCATCAAAACGGTTGATGGATGTTGATGGTGTTTTAGTTCAGAACTTCCTTCCCCTCGTTATCAATATTGAGAAACACCGCGAAGCTGCGACACAAGATTCTCGTCCGTCATGGTCCAGCACGAGACTCGAGTCAACCGTGGCCAAAGAAAAAGTCTCCAGGATCATCCGGGCAACAAAAAATCAGCAACCTCCTTGTACAAACAAACTGCTGGAATAAGTACCATTGTCTTTTCCTATCCCAACTCATCCCAACTCTCTAGTACAGGATGGTACATCACTAGTTCAAAAGCCTTCTTGCAAGGTGCCATCACCAATTCTATCGCACTTGTACGCACGTCGTGTCGCGCGCGTCTGCGTGGCACGCATCGTTGGTCCCGTAGGACGCTGCTTGGCATCTGCAGAAAGTTGCCCAGGAGCAGCGCTCCGCTGGGTCCGATGCCTAGGGAAGCGAGCGGAACAAGGGGGAGCGAGTGGCGAGTGGGGACCCATCACTGGGTTCCGGGTATGGACAGGTTTGCACAGGACCTGTGAACAGGCTGAACAGGTGAAGAATCTGCACCTTTTTTCAGCTAGTGGCTGAGCTTTCTGTTGGATCTGGTCCAACAACGATTCTGGCTGCTGCTAACTCCTCGACAGTAACACCTCAGTCCTAAGTATCCATGGATTTGCTTCAGGATCATTAAATTAAACATTAAAAATAAATTAATAGCTTCTTGTTACTACTAGTAAGGCACTTGTTACGACTAGCGATGCACTTGTTACTAGTAGCTTCTTGTTACTAGCATTTAGACATTGACAACCACCATTGACAACCACCCTCCTTCGGTGACGCCGAAGCGGCTGCACTCAGAAAGATCGAGCAGTTGCAGCTGACTTGCCCATTCTGAAGCGAGCAGCTGCTGCAAGGAGACCTGTCGGGTCATGGGCCTCTCACCCGTCATCCTGTGCGGTGGAGCTCCTCCAAACATGTTTGAACCCCTGAACTGAACACAGATTTGTGGAAATCTCGTCTCTCTCAAAAAACCGGCTGGAACCAAAACGGTGGCAAAGACTTGAAACAAAAAGACACATCAAATGTCAGCAGTGGTTGAACTGAACACCGAACACCACCAAGTTCACAGCAGTTACCCCCTCCCCTTGCTTCTTTCAGCTCTGTGATGACTGCATGCATACATCTGAAAATGCTAAGCGATATGTGTGGAGTTGTGGAAAATCCGTGAGCTATATGTTGACATCCTGTCTGGCACTCCATTTCAACAAAACAACTTTGTGTGCACCAGTTTGGCGCCTGCGTGATGGATGGGTTGCAGCCTCAGGGTGAGGTATGCAGGAACGCTCCTTTTGGTTTTGCGCAGCGCCACAGCGTTTCTAGTCTGCATACAGTATACAGTATATACATATATCATGTATGGTACACCCCTGGTACCTGTACTTTGGGGACCTTGAATAGCAAGGTTTGTGTTGTAGTTGCGAAGAATTCCATTCTCCCAACCGAAGAATTCGAGAACTGTTGCAAAGCCCCAAAAGCATGTTCAACAACGCTTCCTGGTGCTAGTGGCCTGTAGAAACATCGTGGGCAATTGCAGTGCTGAACAATTGTAGTGCTTTGCATCTGAATTATAGGTACCCGGGGGAGTATGTCATTATGTGTTTATACTATATATATACACATATAAGTAAATATATATATATACACACAGTAGATCTTTACTTGTTGCTTTGAGAATCTGAACATGTTCCACTCAGAACGGATCTCTGGAACGACTGCTTAAGCTCTGCTTAGTCTCAGTGCCGGGCTCAAGATCAAGCCGTGAAGCTTCAAAGCCGATTTGGGACCTGGCAAAGGTCCAGAAAAACATGTAGGACCTGCTGACAGCCTGCTAGCTTCGTTGTACAACAACACATGTAGACTGCACCCAAGTGAGATTCACACTTTAAGACATCGCCTGTGGAGCTTTTGGTGCACCATAACATCGCCCCAAATGGCTCCCGACAGCCTGCCAAATTGAGCAGCATCTCGAAATCATCATCTGTCAAGGCATTCCCACTCCTAAGAGAAGAGAAGAGTCCGAGGTATCAAGCCCTTAGAGATTCACAGTAGTGAGCAATGAACCAATTATATAGTCGAATTAGTTAATCCATGTTGATTGTTGATCATGATTCTTGCATCTTGTTCTCTCTCTCTCTCTCTCTGCTCTCTATATGCAAACCCGTTCACGGCTCCAGGCCTCATGATCCTCATGTCTTCAACACCCGAGCAACACGAAAAGTTAACGCTGAAAATGCAAATACCATCCTCTTACAACACTCAAAAAGCCGAGGAGCAAGTCCAACAGCTCTAGCTCGTGGCCTGCAAAGGCCTCAGCCCACTCGATTCCAAGATCTTAACAGTATTACCAGGATGTACCAACCTCCAATCCATAAAGTAGGGCCTTCGGGATCATTGGGGTGTATGGATGTGTATGGTTTAGGGATGTTCAGCGTTTCGGGTTATTCACATTCGCATGCATTCGCTTTGCACTGTTATGAAGCATTTGCATTGTTATTCACAATGCAAGTGTAGTCTAATGTTCTATAATCTGTCATCCGATCGCCAAAACTGATGCCAAAACAACAAACGTCCAAAGTCCCATTTGTATCGCTCTTTACAGGGAATTGACCGCCCCCCCCCCTCAAACTGCCTGGGGCAAAAAGTACATCCTGCACGCAACAGTACATACCCATCTGGGACTCTTACAAAACCTTTCTCTGGTTTCCCAAACAGTTCTCCCCCAAGCAGCACAAACGGTGGGTTTATGGTTTAGCATGGTTTACCCGGCTGATTTGCTGCTGAAATGCCGACTCGATATAGTGATATTGTGTGATATTATGGTTGGTATGGTTCTTTCATGTTCTTTCCTTGATTGGCGATTGGGACCAAGAAAATGCGTTGGTTTCTTCTGCATAATGAGAAAAACATATTGCTGGCCCTTGGGCCGCTTGTGAGTGTTCAAAGGCAAGTTGCAGTACTGAAGCTTCCCTCAAATTCACAAAGCACAGACTTACTTCTCATGAGTGCAATGATCAGCAACATTTAGGGCATTTTCGTTCTGCATGTTGTTCTGTGCAACTGCCCATAAATCCTCAACTGCACGGTACTCACCCTGCCTGAAGCAGGGACAACGCTGTACCCCTCAAGCTCAAGTGCTGCAAGCCTCTGCAATGAAGAACCCTGGCAACCTTCCAACATTATCTGAACCTGACACAATCTGACTATATATATATTATATACATTGACTACTTTGTACATGATATGGAATGTCTAGCTATGTGTTATCGGCTGTATTTGCCGGTACAAGTTGTATACATTGCATTGCATTTCTCTCCACACACGCATCCACACGTAACAAACCACAACAACCTTGAGGTAAATGAGAGATTCGAGGGGCAAGGGTGTTCGTCTCACAATGCACATCTTAAGTTCAATACTTCTTTGGCCATAAACTGCTGTATGGTTTGGCCTAAATACATCTTGAGTTTAAAATTTAGATAAGGGTCAAAATCGGGGGCAGGAGGACGGAGACGGGCAAAAGTACTGCTGGTGCAAGCACCGCATGAACCGCGAACCACGGCACGCAGAACGCTGGGAGCGGCCGCCGCCAGAGCGGCTCCCAGTCGCTCGAGCGGGACGCTCAGGCGCAGCTCGCAAAGGCAAATGCTTCGTAGCGGCCAACGGGTCCAGATTGCTGAGGTGGTCATAAAGGCCTGCAGCTGAAAGGGGAAGAAATGGGAGGAACGACGTGTAACGACTTTTGAAGTGGACGCGTGCCGATAGTCGCTGATCGGATCTGCAAAGCCAACGTCTTCATTTTTACATATATATATGTTTGCATTCACTTCCTGCAATCCTCTCATCAGTTTTATAGCACCAAACGTCGCACCCTCTTGCTCCAAACTCAAGTGGCAGCTGGGATTGATTGACAGATTTGATAAGGCTGATACGAAATGAATTCTCTTGACACACCAAAGAAGAAGCCCAAAAGTCAGAACGGCAAGCATGGACTTCCTCCCTAGACCTGCCCATCCCCAGACCCTCTGCCTCTGCAGCTTCGGATGCTTCGCAACTGGTCTCACGGAGCACCTCCAAGGTGCCATGGCAAGAACACCCAGGCTCATGTCCTTAGTGAAGCGGATCGGCGTCGGGAGCTTGAAGGACTTCGTCCAGCTGCTTCGAGAAAAAAGGAACCAAGTCGTCTTTTCAAATACATGTCACACGGGTCGACAGAAGAAGGTCTTGTTTTCTTAGCTCGATCTTGTTTCCTTTGCCCAAAAACTCAACACACTGAAGAAACAATATCCGTGTGAAACCACACCATTCAAAATCATCCAGGTGCATCCGAACTCTGAACATGCTCTACTAACAAGGTTCGCTAGTAGAAACAAGTGCCACGCTAGTAGTAACAGGTGCCTTACTAGTAGTAACAAGAAGCTATTAGAATTAATTCGACTCTACCCATACTCTAAACATTCCGAGTGCACACACAGGCCCGTTGAAGGGGTGCAACACACACAGCCTGCCGGACGCGACCGCGACTCAGACATCGCTGTTTTCGCTGAGCGTCCCCAAGGGCCCAGCGTCAACGTCTTGGGCGGCGGCACTTGGCGACGCTGGGCTTCTCGGTCACAGGCCTGGCGCTCTCGACGGAGCAGGGCAGGCGCTCTGCACACCGACGCGGAAAGCAAACTGCACAGCACACCGAGCTAGTTTGCACATGTTTGCACGTTTGTTTCTGCCTCCACGACTGCACAAAGATCTTCTGCGCATCGCAAATCTTGATTGTCTAGGCGTAAGTCCACAGGTACCTGAATGAACTGACATTGACAGGGCAAACGAAAAGGATCATGCCTCCGATGGCAATCCATCTCTTCAACCCTGGAGGATCATCGCACGAGCGCTCTCTTCGGCCCGAACCGCGCTTCGGGCCGAAATCGGATCATGCGACATCGGATCTTCCCAGCACCCGGACCTGGACCCATTGGTCAAGGGTGGTTGGCACATAAGAAGCAACTGAATGGAACTGGACCCACCTCCTCTCATTATCCTGGCAGTGAAAGTGACCAGATTCTTGGAAGGGAACATGGACGAACCTTCTAGGAATACCTGGCCTCTCTGCGCAAGCGCGAGAGCGCCCGCAGTCCCGCCAGGGACAAAGGCCTCATCCGAGGCATTGCATTTGGTGATAAGCTGCAAAATTCAATGTCTCACGTGATTCTCATGTGGGTCTTCACAACAATTCTCATACTGGGCTGGCAGATCTTGCCTAGCTTACTGTACATGAATGATCTTATCTTACCCAGAATCTTCTTGCACCATGTTGCACCCAAACCGGCATCTACAGGTAGGTCAAACACAGGGCAAAGAGCTAGATTGTGGGCACGGGAATGTTTATCAAAATTGGTTGCTACACCGTCTCTCCTTAGCACCTAAATTTACACCCACTGAACCAGGATCCCTTCCAACCATGCACGGATCCATTGCATTCAATTGCCTCTCGCTTCGTAGTCTTGTTGGCGCTGGTGGAGCTGGAACATCCTCCGGCCTCTCGTGCCGCCGAACTGAAGAGGTCTCAAGTGATGAGGATCGACCAGCACCAAACCTGGGGAAGCCCTGGTTAAATGGACGACCAGCACCGAGGATCTCAACATCTCTCAATCAATTCGATGGCTTCTATGGTTTTGAGCATGAATTTCAAACACAGATCCAAAGAAAGCATACTTTGAGTGTCCACTCACTTCATTAATGTAACAACAGCTTGTCCGATCAAACCGTCATGTCTATCACGGACCAACAGGTCGACCAAGCTATGTGGGCCGACAGGTCGATTGTCAATCACTGCAAGAGCTGATGAATTAAACCTCTAAACAAAGACCTCTTAATGCCAAACAAGGACGCTACGAACGGGGCTCCTGGCCTTACTACTAGGAGCAATGTTCGCTATAGTAACAAAGGGCATCGCTACGAACGGAGCAAGGACGCTACTAATGCCAAACAATAATTCCCATCGCATTGGAGATTGGAGGTCATCCACCTCGCCTCTCGCCCGTCTGGCAGACTGCATCTGCCCTGGAGATGAGGTTTGACACCAAGACAAAGCCAACGTAGTAACATCTTGAATAGGACATGATACAAGAGCTCAAGAAAAGCATCATGAGGCTGGGCATGGCCCGGCTGTCCGCAAAATCGAGTAATGAAGCCGACACTACTCCTCACCTGCGAACCTTACAAGTGGCGACCAGGAACTAAACCATTGAGCCCAAGGAACTAAACCATTGAGCCTAATCCCCTCTGTGTCCAAGCCTAAGAAGCTACTGGCTTTTAGTCAAGGCTGTCTTGTTCTTCGCTGCCGAGCCTCTGAGTCCGTCCGATCCCACGCACCCCCGAAAACCCTTCTCGCGAAGGACCCGCCCCTCCTTTTGTGCCAAACCTTGTCTGGCAAATCCGGTTCATTGATCTGGCCGTCTGTGCATAGCTCATTCAGAATTTGTGCAACTTGAGGTCTTTCCATTTAATGTGGCGAGCATAGCCACTATGGCCATGCTAACCCAAAATGTGGGCCGCGTCTGCTCTCAGTTGAAAAGTTTCACTCACTTGGATGACGTTTGAGAAAAGGCACCACCCCGGTGTCCCAGGGAGGTGCCGATCTTTGAACATCGCGGCCGAAAAAGTAAAGCTTGGGCAAAACCCCAGGGCAGCCCTGTCCTGAACAATGGGCAACAAAGGATAGTTATAGTTGGAAAATGGTTGCTTCAGCGAACCCATCTCATGAGGCAGGAAAACTCCTTGAACTCTGTGCTGGGACTACTTTGAGAGTAACATCTTCTCAGACTGCTTTGGCTGCACTTGCAAAGTCTATATATCCAAATCACATGTGGTTTTTGCACCCCGGCTTCCTATTGACCCATTCTAGATTCTAGACTCACTTTTATGACCATCTCAGGAAGACTTTTGCATGTGCAAACATGGGCAGCATCACCAAGACTGCTCTCACGATAGCAACCAGCACAGAAACTTGCAACATCTTGCAACACATCGCCAAACTATTTCCCTCTTTCACAAACCCAACGGATGTACAATCTAGAATCTATATGAATTCGGCAAATCTTAGCACAATCCAGATGGATTCGCACAGTTTAAACCATCTCTTGCTTTCATCAAGGCAGCTTGGGCCTTGTTTAGCTCACAATTCCCACTTTGTTGTTTTGAGCCAGCCTAACACACTAACCTAGCAGCTGGTGTGCAATTTCTGGCAAGCCCACGAATGCCAAAGTGACGCTCCCAGGCAATACCAATGAGGATTTGTTGAAATCATTGACTTTCGCCCGGAGTTTCCTAGGTTCGAGCAGCCGTGCTCTGTCACAGAGAGAGAACCCAGGTGCCAAAGCCCTCAAACTCAAACACCAAAGAATGAAAGACCCAGACCTTGCATCTCTCACAATAGTCTTTATGTTATCTTCAGTTTTCGCAGGGAATGAACAACCTCTGTCACTGCCATTGCATTGCGCAATCATGAAAAGATCGAATATGCCTCTAAAATCTTGAAGGTATCATGATACCCTAAAACCATATGGGTTGGCAGATAGCCCTAGACAGGAGACACTTTCTTGATGAACTTTTGTTGCACTTTCAAAAGTGCATTAGTTCATCAACATGTCACGAACGTTCGGACATTTCTCAATGAAAGCAAGAAGCCTTTCTACAATGTTCAAGAGATTGATACATAACTATGAGTCAAGGAGCTTCTTTTACTTCAGTGTTGGTGTGTGCATTTACTTGAGCTTTGCTAGTCAAAGACTTGGCCACACGGCTCTGGCTGCTGTGGTGCAGTTTCCAGGTTTTAAGATGCATCTGTTTGACGCTGCGCTTTTTGGTCTTCACAGAGTTACTTAAACATCTTTTTACAGAGTAGATGGCACCACCCCAAGATGTCCTTTCGATAGGGGTCCAAACAGCCGCACCTTGTGGGGATTGTGCCATCTACTCTGAACCCACTGTAAACATCTTACCAACTGTACTATAGAATCTGTTCAGCTTCACAGAATCTGTGACTCGACAAGACTGATTTGTTTCTTCTCTCTCAAGAACACGATTGGGCAGCTTTGCGGGCCAACGACAGTATATATATATATATGGGAGGGGTACCATATATATATAATATACCCCAATCATGAATACGACCGAGCCAGCACACGTGCACAGCCTGAGAGGCATCTTGGCCTCAACCGACTCAACCCCAATTAGCGCTTTTGCTAGGTGGAGGCGAACTTCGCGCCAAAGACAGCAAACTTGGTGCCGCAACTTGAGGACCTACACAAGACATGACGCAGCTTCGCGCTGCGAAGTAACCACAACTGATGAAGAACTTCAGTTCCCTGGTTGTGTCGTCCGTTCCCTGACTTCCTTCTGGATTTCTCCATGTCGCCCAACAAGAAATCCAAGTGACGCAGCCAAATCTTGGTCTTCAATCTTCTGCATTCCAGTTCCATCAACATCCCAGAGTCCAGCTTGCCCAATGTTTCAGAGTCCTTCTTTGGCCGAGAGGTTGAATCCTCGGACCGCGGACATGTTGAACATGTGCAACCTGAGCAAAACCTTGCAACGTCCCCTTTTCCGTAAACACGAAGAACCTCCGAACCGGTTGTTGTTTAGGTCCGCAGCACTGCACATCTGAAAAGGAAACAATCTGGTCGTTGGCCATGTAACCCCACGCAAGAGCAACCACTGGAAAGATCGCACCGCGGCTGTACCAGGGGGCATTGCTCCACAGAAGAAACCTGAGAGTCTGAGAGAGGCGGCAACCAACTGGCCACATGACAGCGGCAGGAAGTGATAAATCTGACAGGACAGGGGGCCAATTGGTCGTAGAGATCCCCAGAAAGAGATCAAGTTCTCGCAAATAGTAAACCCTCTTTTGTAGGTGTCAACAAGAACCACCTGTATGAAGCAGGCGGCCACTGCTAGCTAGAAGAGGTTTTCACCAAAAAAAAACGGATCCGCCAAGTGACGCTGCCAAGAGTATGGCACCTCCCGCCACGAAATAGCTGGCAACCTTAAAAGCAGCGGCCTCCAACCCAATAGCATCCAATAGCAATGGCCTCCAACCTACTAGCGATGGCCTCCATCCCAATAGCGATGGCCTCTCAATGAACAAATAGCAGTTGCTGCATGGGTCTTTCCTTCAACTTTGACAGTGTGAACAACAAGCCTCTAGGCGCTGCACAGCGCAGCAAGTACAACCTGTAATTATTCGGCCACTTGGTCAAGAGGCTCTGCGTCTCTCGCGCTCCTCGTCGTCAATGTTCACCTCATTGAGCTACTGTCCGCTTTCATCTTCGCTCATTGGCTCTGTATTCGTTCCAAACCCCTCCAAGTCTTGGAAATCTCCAACGGTTTGTCATGGAACTCCGTTCGGAACCGCGCAGGGTCCTGAAGTACGCACGTGGGCAAAACATGACCAACCTCTCCTGTCTCCGACATCGTCTGTCCCATCTTCTCTCTGTTCTTGTGATCCACAGGATATACTGGACCATATACAGGATATACTGATATACTGGACCATCTTCTGGTCATCTACAAACAAAATGGTGGGTCCATATACTAGACAATCTTTTTCTGCCCACTTGAATCCGACCAGGCACCAAGTCTCGAGCTGCCTTCTCGCGTAATGCTGCGCGCCTGGCTTGGGCCTCAGGTGATTGGTCCACCTCTAGAGTCGCCACCTCGGTAGGGCGTCCAACGGACGTCCGATCACAAGCCGTGAAACAACATAAAAAGAGCAGCATGAAAATGGATGACCACCAAAAGCAGTGGGTGGGTGAGACAAGCATTTTTGAACTGGATTGTTGGGATGCTGGATCATCTGTTGATGGCGCTTTGCCTGCATGACTGTGGTCCAAAATTCCCTCTAAGGCAGTGGTTCCCAACACTGTTTGGAGATGCTGCGTTCTTGACGTCTTGAGTCCTGAGCAAAATAATCTTTTGTGAAGGCTGTAAGAAACTAGTTCCCAACACTACTCTCTCGCTGTCATCCTCCTTCTCCTTCTCCTTCTCCATTTCCGCGCCTTCTCCCCCTCTCCTCCTCCTCCTCACCCACCACAACTAACTTCATCAATTCACTGGTTCACCTGATTCACGCACCTGATTCACTCAACTCCCTCACACCGCACACCCCACTCACTCACCAAGCCAGCCAGCCAGTTTCTGAATCAACCAATCAATCAAATTTAAAAACTTAATAGAAAAGTCAAACAGTCAAACAATCAAATCCCCTTGAACTTGCGATCTTGCACTATCTATCGATCCCGCCTTCAGCACACCCCACTGCACGCTTGAGCCTGGATTGATGCTAAGAAAAACGCTTGCAGTAACGAAACACACATGAAAGCACACAGTGATGCTAGTCTACTACGATCCGACTCCATTGCGCAGCCAAACACTGTTCTAATTTCAGATATGTAAAGAAAGGTCAACGGAGTTTCGAACATCTTGGAACGTCTGCTGCAAAATCGCTGCACCTTCCCGTGTCTAAACATCCGCTCCATGCCGTCTTCCACCCCCTCTTCCAACGACGTCGCCTTCTGCACCTTTACCAAACTCGACCTCCAAGCCCTTTTCGCTGACGCGCAAGGGAGGGCCACCTGCAAGTGCCTGGGACGCCCACAACGACGCCGTAAAGCCACAACGTGTGTGGTCATAGTGTATTCGGCGTTTTGGTTCTCTTCATAGCCTTTTTGCATTCAATTCTGGTGGTTTATTTGGTTGGATTGCAACACATATCATCATATCAGGTTGATTCAGTTTGCTTGTCAACATGACAAAGGATGACACAAAACCATGCTCTTGGTATCTCTTGGTACTATTTTCTAGTGATTGGCGTGGGTTCTGACGCTTTGACGTGGAGGACACGAGGCCGCGTGGCCCTGCCTTGGCAAGCAGGTCATCCTCCTGACCAATCGCAGCGGTGTTGGCACGCGGTGGTCAACGCGTGGCTTGTCAACTCTTGCATTTCCTCAAACACAACGCTTCACAACACAAAATCACCCATTGATAGTCTGAAACCCAACAAACCGTGAATCTTCTAACAAGTCAAGCAGGAGCAACATGATGCAACATGATGTTGTATGTCCGTTTGCCATTCTTGATGATATTATATGATATTACAACATATTACAACCCCAAGGGCATGGTACATTCATGTATACAAAGCAAATGTGGCATAATATGTTGTATCTCGTTCTGCGCCTCACTCTGCGCCCTACGCAGGCTAGGACTTGGGCGGCTGGTACATGTCCGGGGTCGGACAAAGCAGCCGCCGATCACAAACAATGCCTTGAGAGGAATGCAGCCGCAGCGGAAGAACACGGAATACCGTTCTATCTTTGTGGTATTGATGTCGCGCTGTATGCTGGAATGTCGACAACTCTCAATCCTCTTGTCATCCAAATGGCCAGGAGCAGTGTTCCTCGTCGAGGCTGGGTAGCCATGGCTCTGGCTCCGGTGAAAAAGCTCTAACAGCTTGGCAACATACAATGCCCCCTGCCATTGAAGCCAATTCTGTGTACATACAATGACATACATATGGAAGCCCCGTCTGGTTATGTCTGGTTGATGTCCAAGGCACGCCCTGCCGTTTCCAGGTGTTTGAAAACGTTCCAAAGACTCAGTATGCATCCATTTATATATTATGCAAAACGGATCAAAACGGTTTTCGTTTCAAAATTTTTGTGAGATTCGTCGCGTGAGTGTTGCAACGAATACCATTGATTGAGCTGTAACGCCCTCCTTTGATCTCCTTTGCTCATCCTGCCTGTGCAAGGATGCCTTTCAGTACGACCTCTATTACATCTATCGCAGTTTATAGTTATATATATAGATAGATCATGATTAATAGATCAATGTTTGACATCTGAGAAACGCCTGCGTGATCATCGCCCTCCAATACCTGCAAGATTCACGCTCGACCCATTTCATCCTTCCATCATTCCTCAGGGCCCAGGACTGCCATCTAAATGCGACCCAACATCACCTATCACATCCTATCACATCACCCAATATACCCAATCATCTCCAGATCCCTTTGACGTCGCTTCGATGTCGGCACCCTGAGCTCCCCGGAGGCTCCCCGGAGCTCCCCCCGTCGGAGCCGTCAGCCTCCGGCCTCTGCCGCTCGGAGCGACGGGATGCGGCGACGCCCCAAATTTTCATCCATGGCACGATGCGTCGTGAGGCTCTTTTCCTTGATTTTTTCCCCAATTGTCTCAACCATATAGGCTTTCTGATGGTTTTCTGATGGGTTTCTGATGTTTTCCATGTTCATGTTTCTTCCTCTGATTCTACTTTTGTTTTTCCTTTTGGACTGCCGTTTTGTGAGTTTGTGAGCAGTTCTGACCGAGAACGCTGAAGGTTTCAGGAGAAATTTCTGTGAGCTCTGTGTCCCGTGCTGTCACACTGTTGGCATGCTGTCGAGTCAAGTCTTGTTTTTTTCTCAACTCTGTGCTTGCACAAACACCACAACACCGTTGCGGGGTTCTACTCTTTAGCCGTTCCTTGTGGTGCACTGGGATACTGGGTATTTAAGGGGCTGTCGTAGGCTTCTGATTCTTTCTTCCTACGCTGTCGAACACACACGACCCTCTTGACAGGTCCTGACATGTCTTGACTCATTCTCGATCACCGCATCAAACATCGTTGCATCTGTTGGCCAAGCTGCAGTTCTCCAAAGCAACGCGCCAACATGTTGCCCTGCCCTTTTCCGGCGCCGGTGCCCTTCACATCATGAAGATGCTGCTGAAGTGGATGGATGCAAACCTGTCAGGTCGACCCACCTCCCTCTGTGGCACAGCGTTGGACGCCTGTGTGGGGGTGACCCAGTGCTATCCATGGAACACCCGTGATGGATGGACAGGATATTTGCTTTTATAGCGAGTGTGTCGAAGACGCTGTGTAAAGTTCAGTCATTGAACCGTGGCCATTGCACGTAGATTGAGCAGATGGTCATCTTGTTTTCTGAAGTTTTCTGTATCAACCATCTAACCATGTCTGGAACTGGCAAAACTGAACGCCCCAGTTCCTTCGCACGAAGCGCACATTTGCCGCCACATGTCTTGCCTTGCACACTCCTCCTGACAACGTGACAAAGACGTACTTGTCCCATCCAAGAGGAGGTAGAACTCTCGGTCGCACCACCTGGACCGTCTTCCGCCGGATCTAGTCCGGATCCGGACCGCGGCATGGTGTGAGGTGCCCTCCGACGGATTTCTGGCCCCGGCCTCTTGGCACAAATCCACCCCCTGTCTGCAGACTTCCAAGACACCTGCAACACGAAATCGGTGGGTGAAGAACCGGTGAACACTTCCATCAGCCCAATGTTGAACTGAAGCTACTGTAGGTCTGCAATGGTCTGCAGAGTTTTGCTATGTTACAGTCTGTAGAGTGCCAATGAGGCACCTCATCCGAATCATCTGGATTGTAGTCAGTGGTTTGGAATTTGAGCACGTGCAAGGACTTCCAGGACAGAGTTTTTTCTCGGATGCCTTCCTTGAAACGGAGGAAAAACCGTGAATCCATGATGAATCAATATAGTTTTACCATATGATTGCATATATATAAATATGAATTTATGTTTTCAACCTCCTTTGGAGTGTGAATCCAAATCGTCTCAACCTCCGAGTGTTTCTGGGGAACATCAATGGACTTTTCCTGCACGCACAGCATCGTGCGGCATCGAGCCTCTCGACACTTGAGCTTGGGATCCTGGCGAGTCAAAGCCATGGCATGAATAGTAGCATGAACTCCAGAGCAAAACCGATCAACACAGTTCCAAACATGCTGATGATCTCCAATGATATCTAATGATCACATATCACATCCCACACCCAACATGCATAATAACCAGATGGAACCACGGAACGATCCATGCAAGAACAACACCTCCAAGCAGCCAAAAAAACCTTTAAGAAAGACACACACACAAACACAGAAACCATTCGAACCGTCGATCCTGCAAGAAACACTACACTCTTCAGAAATCAGGCCGAGCGCGACCGACAGGGTGGCGTGCAGCGGTGTGAGCAAGGGCTTTTCCACAGCTTTGGGCCCCTGAGAGGTCACTCCGGTGCTTCGCAGCAAAGACCTGCGTGCCACGTCCATCGCTCGAGGAAGTCTTCAAGAAGACCGTCTCAGACGTCCTCTGCTCGAACTGCCCGAAGTCTCTGGAAGGTGCGAGTTTTCATGTTTACCCCGAACGCATCATTTCGAAGTGGAATGAGTAGACATCCACTAGGATCGATTTGGAGCATTTTCGGATTCTGGCAGAATAGGTCATCAAGTGAAAGATCAGGCAGCGGTGACACGCTGCCACTGTTCCCCGTGAACCTTGAAATAGGTGTGAATGGCAAGGAAGGCATCCGAATGGCAAATATGTCGCTTCTGACATCCGGCCTCGACATGCTGGCCTGCAAGGCACAAAACTGCAGGCAGAGCTGAAGCATGCTCCCCATGAATGAGCTGATATGAGTGATGGGCAACATCTCCGATCCATGATGTTGGATTGGCCTTTCGGTTTTGCTCTTGGACTTTTGGCAAAGCTTGGCTCTAGCGCCCTGGCTGCCCTGAGTGATGTTGTCACACCCATCCTGCCTGGTTAGACAGTCTCAGGGCATGGTTGGTGTGATTGTAGTACACGAAGCGGTACTCATCCTGTCAAAGCCAAACAGCTCGCATCCATACTGAGACAGCAACCACGATTGATGGTCAGCCAAGGCCACTGTGTACTTTATTGATTGGAGGTTGGCCAGAGAAACACAAATTGCGTATTATCAGGTTGTTTGTGGCTGATGGTGATGGTGATAATAGTGGCTCTACCAATGACACCAGTTGTGCCCTCTGTGCCTCTTGCTCCATGATCTGCTGGTACTGCGGCACAATCAAAGGTTGCAGCTCTGCAAGAGAAAGGCCGTCGCCCTGGCACATGCATTCTAATAGCTGTCCGTGCAGCAGGATTTTTTGGGAGAAGAGCAACGTACAACATATGTCAAAATATCGTGCCCGTGCCCGCTCTCTCTCTCTCTCTCTCTCTGAAAAAAGGGTTTCTGCGTGATCGTTGTTCATCGTGCTACACATCTTGAACCCAAACAACTGCTCCTGAACTTTGGCCATCGTATGCCGAAAAGCATGAAACACATGCCCATCGAACATGGGCTAAACTCTCGGAAGACCTTCCCATGGATTCCCCTGGTCCTTGGCCCTTGGCTTGTCTCCCGGTCTCCCTATTTCCACACATGTTCCATACCCAGCCATGTTCTAAACCACCACCCAGCCATCAACAAAGCTGGCCCTTCTCAGAAGCTGACGGAGGAGGAATTACATGTCTCTCGCAGTGATTCTAACAGCCTGGCGTCTCAGCACTGTTGGGTTCTTGGTTCTTGCACTCTCTTCCTACAAAAAGCTTTCAGGCACAAATAGTACTGTATATTGCATTTATTTGTATTTAAGTTAGGTGAGCTTGCCATCTTATTTCTGCCAATCAGATCTAATTAATCAGTATGTCTTGCTCGTCGACCCATTTTCTTTTGTCACGCCTTGCATCGACGTGAGCATCCGCCTCGAGGATGAGCACCAGCATGACCTTGTGTATAGCCGACATCTGCCACTGTCGCAGCGCGCGACGATATTCGGGCGACATCTTTTTTGGGCGTTTGTCGAATTGTGAGATTTGCTTCAATAAGCTTCGCACACCCTTGAAGGTCAGAGCAACCAACTGGCCCACGCCACTGTTCAAATGCACGGCCGGCACGAAAATGGAAGGAGGTCTGCGCGGGGGAGAATTGGGCAGGAGTTCAAGGCTCCAATTGGATTCAGCAACTCAAGGTTTGAAGTGACATCATCAAGAGGCCAAAGAAAAAATATTCATCAGTCTAGAGTTAAACAAGTATTTACCATTTGCATGACACATAATTACAGTAAATGCTAAATGATGACATGCAAAGAAGCTTTTCAGGATGTGCTCAGCTATAATTACCAAGCACCGAAAGTCAAACCAACGGGGGTGGAAAGCAGCAGTTGGCAACTGCCGTGTCTTGGAATGGGAATTGCTCTACTGCCAAGGATTCTGGCAATTCTCTGAAGATTTAAGGATGTCATATACCACCAAAGACATCACCAAACCTCCGGGGATGTGATGTAGCGCAAACACTTTCTCAGCACTGCGCACCAATCTTGGCACGACGGGCGTGTCTTGTACGAATCATGAATGCGAGGACTCATCTTCACCATTCGACCTCAAGTTCGGCCAGTTGGAGAAGTCTTTGTTAGGCTGTAAATACTCTGATGTTGTAAAAGTGCATTGCTGCATACACAAAAACACTAATCTTCTAACCTTTGCTAAGCTCAGGTCCCCCGAAACCAGGCACCTGCAGCACCAGCAGCCTCACGTCTCATCAACTATGAGCCAACTACACTTAATGTGCGCATCCCTTTCCGGATTCCAAGACCCACGGCCTGTGCCCTGAGGCCCCTTAGACTAGCACAGTTCCTCTTCAATATCATTTTTAAATTGGCCTGGTATGTCCCTGTCATGTCGCTTCCCTTGCCTGATTGAGGTGCTGCAAGGGCGCAGGGATAGAGCTGTGCTCAACCTTGTTTGGGGCCAGGTGGGTCCACGTGCGAGAATTGCTAGGTATCACCAAAGTGAGTCAAACGTTTGCTTTCTATAATTTTCAATAACACAAAGATCAACATAGATCAACCATCAACCATCTGTGGATCACCAACCATCATGAGCCAGTTGCCATTAACTATGGTCTTGCGAAGCGCTGGTACTGAGGTGCAAAAGAAGCCGCCCCCATCGATGGGGCGGAATGACGTTCCCGTCTGGTACTGCGGTGCGTCATTCCACGTCGCTTTCCGTCCGGCAAACCTCCGTCGAGCGGCAAGCTTGCGCTCCGCGGCATTCAGGTTTAGCAATGTGCAAAGTACTGGCACCAAAGACCTCAGTCGATCACAGAAGACTTACGGTAGGTGAGATCACAGAACATCGCATACGATTCAGGGATTTTTACAATATATTACAATATATAATACATACATAACCACAGTATAACTATATAAAAAACAACTTCCCATTTCCATGACCATGCATAACACATGAAGTGCTTCGTTGGCTGAAGCAGCAGCAACAACATGCAACAACAACATACTTGCAACAGGAACAAAAACAACACGAGCTCAACTGAACTGACCCTCACCTGTTTAGTTGCAGGTCAAATACAAGAAACGTAATGAGATACACCAAGCTGGCAGCTAGGTGCTTAGGTGGTTTCCCCCAGCACACTCCGGTTCTTTCTCTACAACTCAGGGCGAAACTGAGACTTCATGTCGCCCTTCTGACAGTACTCAATGTACTTCAAGACGACATGTTTCAAATAGTCACCTTCAAGCATCACTGCACGCGCCTAGAAATACAATTTGAATCAAAGGGGTCGCTTTTTAATACTTCTGGTGCTGACGACCACCGTTAGATCCTTCTTGTATGACACAACCTGCCGGCATCCGGCGCTACAGCATGAGGCTGCTGATTCGTGGGAGCTCGCAGTTGGAGCTGGCAGTGCCTGACATATGGCTTCTGCCTTGGCTGGATTCGAGCTCCCGGATGCGATCCTTCAACACCTGGCAGGTGGCAACGATCCTTTCACCGGTGCGACCAAGGATAGGAACTGGGGGCGTTCTTCCAGAACTCGTTGGCATCCAATAACCGAATCATTCAAATGAGACTCCACTGCAGAATAATGCAGAATAACACTTTGTGACAATTCATTCCTGATGTCATTGAATCAATTAATACAAACAGTCTGCTGCGTTCCTTTGCATGGCTCTCAAACAACTGAGTCTCTTACAGCTGAACGGTTTATATTTCTGTGCACTTTGAGGACCTTTGAGGCACCTTCTCTTGAGCATAGCTCATTTCCAGCATCTTCTGCACTTCCAGGAGTGACTGGTTGGCTTGTTGCACCTGTCTGGAACATGATCAAAGGACTGAGCCACGCGAAAGCAGCTTTCCTTTCCATCCACTGAAGCACCAGGCTAACCTCGCCTTTTGCTGGTGCTTCTTCATCTCAACCTCGCGCAGCGCCTCAGCGAATTGGGTTGACAGAAACCGGTGACCGGCCGGTGACCGACCTCTGCAGCTCCTGGGTGGCTCACCTGCTGCTCAGCCAAGCGAGTGATGGAATCAGTGCTCGTTAGCTCCTGTGCCAAGCGAAAATGAAAAAGACTGCACATCAAACATTGCTGGATTCATGGAGTGATTGATGGCAAATAGAGATCCTCTCGCTGTCTCCCTCGAAACCTATAATAAACCTATGCAATTCTGTAATTACACACACAAGCACTCAAACACCTTAGCTACAAATCATTTCACGAAAGCAGCATCATGTGATATCATGTGCTCTCTTTTGGCTTGCGGCTGACTGGCGCTCGCACTTGCGGCTGCAGCGGGATTCACGGGAGCAGCAAGGGAGTGCCAGGTCAGGCCTGCGAACGACTTCATCGTTTGTAGAACGAGACACACCTTTTCTTGGTATCTCTCTTACACTGGAGAGGAGTGCAACACAACTGGCAATGCATCCACCTGAATCCAGGGCCGGGCCCTGGATTCAGGTGGATGCATTGGGACCCATTGTGATAACCCAAGGCCTCGTGATTTGCTTAAAGCTGCAATTAAGCTCAAAACCGTTTTCCCAGCCTACAGTACGATTCCTCTTAGAACACACCAATATAGTGGGCTTCCACTGGTCCACCCACAGAATTCCGTTGCAGCAGTGTAGGACTGAGAAGCTTCGTTTCGACTCCGCCGAGACTCCAAAACCATCCAAAACAATCCGTGCCTCACAGCTGCTGCATCGTCTCTTGAACTTGCAGCCAGGTCATACCATTCACCACATTTGTATAGCCCAATGTTTCAAGGTCTCGCTTGGCCATCTGCGCACGAATGCCTGTCAAGAGAACCAACTGCATGACTGTTCGGGCCATGAAAAGCCATTATATAAATCATGCTGGTCCAACATTTGGTTGAACGATATTGAAAGTGATAGATAACTCTATGATGGAACAGTGGAACCAACTTCGTCACTATTTTTCCTGCACCTCAAACTCAACACATATGGCCAAAGTTTTCTCTCACAGGTGCTGTAGTTCTAAGTCTAAGTTTGACAGTTGTCAAAGGCAAACGTCTCAAAATAATCCTGTCTTGAACCAAAATTTCACGCATGATCAAACATGATGTTTTATTGGACCCCTCCAACAGTGTATGCTGAGTAGGTTCTTCTGGTCAATAACACCTGTCACAGCCACGGAAATAGAACATGTTCATCTGGCTGAAAGGCACCCTTTGCGCAGTAGACGACCACGGGCGTCGATGTATCTGCGGGAAGCTCCTTCGCCCTAGCCTCAATCCTTAAGGGACAAACATGTTGACTACAGAATCCACCTCCCGTAAATGCTAGCTCAGTGCGAGAAACATGTTGAAACCTAAAGTTCCAACACATACATACATGATGACATGCACCAACACATACAAACACGTACAAAAACGATGTCACAGTCGATGGACACACACACAAGCACCATTCAATGCTGCCCGAATTCTGAGTGTGCGGAATGTTGGCGCTCCCATCAATGTGACCGTCAGCATACCTCATCTTTCTTGGATGATAAATGTTTGATATATGTTTGATATAGTTTGGAAGCATTCAAACAAGACACAATTAAACGAAAACATCGTCTGTACGTCCTACTGCTTTCTACTGTCTTTTGAGTGATATTGGAACCAGCGAATGCAGGATCGAATGCGCTGCGTATAACATAAATCTGAAACATTGTGGGGCCAAGTTGGTCTCATGGGCTTGCTAGGACCAGCGTAGCATTGGAATCTATCCAAGGAGTTTCTATCTTCATGTTCCTCGGTACATGTTTCCTTGGACTTAGTTCCCAACATCAGAGTGCAGCTGCGTTTCAGTGCAATGTGCGGGGTCGCAGTCTGTGAATGGATGCTCCTTGTGTGCATCTGCTCCTTTAGTGGACAGTGCCAACCATATCCAGAAACATCTGAAAGGGCCAATTTTGTGCACACATGCTGTTGGGTTGCAAAGCTGGGGTAATTTCAGATATACTTAGCCATTGGCTGCCTTTTACCAAGGCCCCTTCTTCCCTTGCCTCTGGGTGACTCATCCAAAGTTCGCACATCCAGAAGGAACACGTCCGGTTTCAGCAAGTGTTCCACCAGCATGGCACCTAGTGAAACAATCGTTGGGCACACAATAACGTAAAAGCAAAAAAACGCAAAGACAGAATACCTCCGCAACATGCAGACAATGAGCACCTTCATCTCCCTCAGCATGAAGGACTGTCCACCGTGACCGTGGAGATCCTGCCCACCGAAAGGACCGGTGAGGATCGACTTCGATTGCACCGTTTTCCATCGCTGTGCTACCAGTGAATGAGATGTGGCTTTGCCGGACCAGTGATGGCACTTCTACTGGCACTCCCTCTGCCAAGAGTAGGGCCAGGCCGGCCAGGGGTTATGAGAGTGCAACCAAATTAACCCCAAAAAGCCACATCTATATAACCCCTTGAGCTTTCTAGATTCCAGCATGCAGTGCTGCAAGAACTCCGTCAAGCACACAAGGAACGGACCATTCCGTCCTCTTCTGGCTGGGGCTGTGAAGGCAGAACCAAAGCTCCTCTAACTCGTGGAAACTGGTTCACCGGTTGACATGTGACAAACCAGTCAGGAAGTGATCAAATACGGCAGACCCGGCTGAATGTGATCTCCTCAGCCAAAGATACAACCCACCAAATAACAGAAGGCCCCGAACGGCGCGCGCCATGGTTATCCGTGACAGGTGGCTGCGGTGGCCGCAGGTTTGGGCACTTGAGCCGAAATACATGAAGTGCTGGTGTGCTGCAAATGGTCGATCGTTCTTTTGCTGAGTGGCATGGTCTTGCGTTTGAAAACAAAAATACAGCAAGGTTCCCATCAAGGCATAAAACAATGGCCCACGAGCATGCATCAGCTTTCCTTTAGGGAAGTGCAACATTCACGTTTTCCCATGCTTTCAACTAATCTCTTGGACTCTTGAGTCTCTACCCTCCTGTTCCAGCTCGCCGGTCTTCAAACGCATTTGGCTCAAGGCATTCTCCTGGATGACTTTTTGTCGCGACAACATCTGAACAATGCCCTGTAGAGAGATCCCCAATATAGATAGAGACGGTTGGAACATAATCTTTCCTCAAAAGCTCATGATGCTCTTGGACACCAGACACCTATCTGTTTGGTCGAAGGTTCCTGTTTTGGAGCTGGGTTCCGCGAAGACATTCAGCACATGTCCCGCGAAGACGCTTCTGGCCTACTTGGTGCAGGAATCATGCGTGCGATCAAATGATTAGATCCACAAATGGAGCTTCTTAGTTACTACTAGTAACAAGTGCCACGCTAGTAGTAACAGGTGCCTTACTAGTAGTAACAAAGAAGCTATTTGTAGGAATTCTTCGTGCGCAAACTATGTGCCGACCTGGTCCGACCTTGCTGACGGCAGATCTTCGAAACCAATCACTCCAAGTAGCTGCTGTGCAACAACCGCTCCTTGTCTTCCAAGCGCTTCTCCGCCTCACGTGAGGGCTTCGTGGATGGAGTTCCGCGTACCAGAGCTGCCAAAGAATCGCACCAAAGCCCCAGAAGACACGTGAGCTACCAGAATCTTTCTGACAACATATGTGCCGCATATGATTCTTGGCAAACACTTATGCATAGCGAACATCCCGCCATGGACAACTCAGGTGTGAAAAAGAAGGGACAGCAGCTTTGGAGCATTACATTGAAGGATATCAGTGGTTTGTCTCAAGGTCAGCGAGCATTGGACCAATCCTTGTTAAATGGACCAGCCCAGCAAACGAGCTCCACTCGGAAATCCCCGCCAGAACAACTAGTGCTGCCAAATCTGGTCCATGCAGGTCTCAAATCAGGGAGTGAGTGCCCGCGGAATAGGTGTTCCAGCACGAACTAAACCAAACAACCTTAAGCCACGTGAGGGCCAACCACGTGGTCGTCCACGCCTCGTCCACCCACATCGATCGATGCCGTCCCACGTCGTCCACCCACGACCCGACCCGCCTCGCAGCGGTGCAGCTCGGCCTCACAGCGCTCGCGCTCCAAGTCCAAGCGCAAGCGCCGGGCCTGGAGCGGTGCGGTGCGGCTTAAGCCGCCGAGCTGGGTGGACTGCGCTCCCAAGATCAATCAGTGCACAAAGGCACAAATACTACAAGTACTGTACGTGCTCGTGGCAAAAGGCTTTCAGCTTTGAACTGGTCAACCGGTCAACCTCGAACGCATCATGGCAGGAGGGCCACTGGAAAGGCTCATTGTGACAGACCAAACCAAACCTACTGATTTCAAGGCCTACTGATTGAAGGCAGCGAGGCTTTGAGACCTTCTTCGTATCCTACGGAGTGGCTTCCCTCTCCTCCAGTCCTCAGGTGTCTTCCGAGTCCCGAAAAAGCATGAAAAAGCATTATAGCCTACTAGCCACTGACATAAACCGCCTTCATGGTAAACCACCAGGCTTCGGTATAGCCTTCTCTGCACCTGGATGCGAACTCACCCAGCCTGTGACCTGGATCTTGGGAACCTGTATGGAATCATCTACTCTGCCAAATCGGTCAATGCTGACTTATGCTCAGCATAAGCTCCTCAATTCCCCATCTTCCGCACTTATTCCGTCACCCGCACCTCTGCTCTCAGCTCATCAATCGAAGCCTTTCACAACCCGATGGATGAAGTCTGAAAATTCTGAAATACAAACTGACTGCATCCATTCAAATAGTTTCACACGATTCATCCGGGAACTTCATTTTCGCGAGCTCCGTCGATCATCATGCCCAAGAATGCCGGCCAAACCACTTTGACTTGGCGTGGCAGTTCTACTAGCATCAGGGATGTTTCTTGCAATCATCTTCCACAGCTGCGCTGCGAGAAAAAATGCAGCGAGATGTTTGGTCTTGCTTCTCAAAAGCAACCAAAAAAACACCACCGAACAGCGCAAGACTTCAAAGTGCTGTTGGTCTTGAATTCAATGTAATTCATCGACTTGACAGTCAGCAGCTTGCTTCGTTGACCTGACAGCAAGCAACACAACGTCAAACGGTATCTCTGAAAATGGACGGTCACACAAACAACAGCCTAGTTAAACTGTTTGAGATCCCTTACCTACTGATATCGGGTAAATACCAATACAACTGATTGAAAGAACACTTGAGCTCTACTGCTGATCTGAAAGGAGTGGTCAATGAAGTTGATAATATACCATATCAATTAATATAAGGTCAACTTAACTGAACATGCACCTGCTGCATTCCAGCATGACATTCCTGAACTACACAGCCTACTGCTGGTGTATTTGCAGAACGAGAAGTCTAAGTCCAAGCCTTGTTGTTGATGAACCTACTCGCAATGCATTGACTTCAACACCAACTGCAAAGTTACCTGACAACAAGTTTGGTTTTCTGGGCACCGCCTGAGCCCCAGCTTGAGCTTTCTGCTTGCGCTTCCTGTGGAGAACCTCTAGAGCGATCAGGAAAATGCTGCTAAAGCTCACCAGGCAGCCTGGTTGCGAAAGAGTCCAACATGTCAGCGTGTTGCGGACACAAATCTTGCATAGCACAAGGACTGCGGACGGATACCCAGTCATTTCGCAAGAGTCTTGAGGAAATTTCGCACACCTACGGACACAAGGTCATGTGGTTGAAATGTTTGTCTGCATTTCAACAGTCCAACATTCCGATGGAGACTGGTCTGCTTGTCTCCACCCCACCTCCAGAGACTAGTGCAAGGGCGTAGCCCTGAGTCTCAGCGAGCCAGCCTCGTCCCCATAGCAAGCAAGTTCATGTGATTGATTTGTCTGCAAAACCACCTTGGTTGACATACCTGGAAGGTCAAGCTACATGTGGACCAAGGCTCCTGTCCATGAAGAGGCACAAGTTACCGAGAGGTTTTTCCGCACGCGAATGCAAACAAACATCATGTCAAAGGCTCAATGGAAACTGTGCTGTTGGCACGCTGCAAGTGCAGCAAGAAATATCCAAACGCTGCTCCGGCCTGTGACCGGCACCCCAAGCAAGTTGCCGGCTCCCACACCCACACGTGAGATACCATGGTAGCGAGCCAACTCCTCGCAGTATGGAGAACACTGCACGCAGTGAAAAAGTAAACCACCACTTTGCCTTGAGGGTCCATCGAACCAAACGATTTGAAAGGGCTCAACAAAGAACTCGAGGCCACCTCATCAGCTACAGTATGCTCAGCTATGCCATGCCCTACCTTCGGCTTGCATACACGTGTATTTTTTGCGAATAGCTACCGGACTTTTGGTTCTTTAACATTAAGGAATTCTATCTGCATGTTTCGATTGAACCTTGACTGGTATGTAATGCACAACTGATGTAGCTTCTTGTTTATGCAGGACTCGTTATTCAAGGCAATGGACATCCCTAAAAAAAGGCTGGACCAAGCACACCAAGCACACCGGCAGCGGATCTGGAGGCCTGTCCTGCGTGCCAAACAGTTCGCTCAGCACAACGCTTACGAGGGCAATCACTGGGCCGATGCTGAAACCTCAACTGATCAAATGATCGAATGTCGATCGACGCACATTTCTGGTGCAAAAGATTGCACTGCGGCACCGCGAAGCGCAGGCACAGCCGCACCGAACCGGGTAGACCGTTTCTGCGCGGTCTCTCGTTCCAACGAGATTCAGCTGTGCATTTCGTTTCGCATTAAACACAACATAGTAGCTTCATGTAGCTTCTTGCTCCTAGTAGTAATGCACTTTGCTACTAGTAGCTTCTTGTTCCTAGTAGTACGGCCAGGAGCTACTAGTAGCGTCCTTGCTCCTAGTAGCGATGCCCTTTTCTACTAGTAGCTTATTGTTCCTTTATGTTCTTTGCATTTCCATATATCGATTCCTGCAGAATTCATCGGTAGCCAAGGGTCCATAGAGAACGCTCCAAGCAAGCAAGGACTCTGCATTCCTGAAGTGAGCAAACATGTACTGGAACTTTGTGAAATTGTGTGCACGTAAGAGTTCTTCGAACATTACGCCCCTTGTGCGGCGAAACATGTTGACTGAGAGCATTCCTTTTGTGACCTAGAGTGGTGAATACTGTCTGCTACAGTAACATTCTAGTGACACGACTCTAAGATATATGAACTCTAGTGACACGACTCGTACCGTGCCTATCATCTAAACTTTCAAGATCTTTCATTTACCAAGGTAAACCCTCGAACATCAGCTGCTACTTGGCAAGCTGCCAACATAACGGCAAACAACAGGCAATAGCACCGACCAGAACTTGTGAAGCAAAATGAACACGTCCTGAGCGTGCAAAATGCTGCAAAACGCGCAGATCTTCCAGAGACAGAACTCCACTGAACGGATGTGTGGCAACCGTGTGTGGCCTTCAGGTTGTTGTTTTTGCATGTTTTTGCTATTCATTTGGTATTTTACAACATCAAACAATTCAAGTCAAGGTGTCTTAGAATCATAGTGAGAGGAACTGCAAAACGGCAAAGTCAAAAGTAGTCACTCAATGTTGTGTCAAAACCAGTTTTGGTGCTGAGGCATGGTTTGCGTGTCAAGTTGCTGGGGCCTCCACACAAATGAGTGACAAATCCCAGGCAAAGTCTCGTTGCGAGAGCGCTGACGCCTTGGGTCATGGCACCGGGACACCCTGGACGACCGACCTCCGGGCTCCGGGTTTTGTATGTTGCAATCGTTACTAGTTGTAGAAACCAAAGGCATGAACATCACACACGCATGAACAGAGGCATGAACATGCGTCAGTTGGGCAAGGCACCAATCAACGTGTAGGCCATGGCCGCCTCCCGTGCAGACAGTTGCAGCTCAGTTTGAACGAAGTCTGCCAGCAATGTCGGTGGTGCAAAGTAACCGAAGAAGCCTCATGTCCCGAGACTGCCAAATGCTGCAGACTCAGAGATGCTACAACCGGCCATAGACAAACAAAAGGGATTGCTACAACCGGCAAGGAGCACACAAACATGTCGATCCACCAGCAAACGAATCGCAAGTCCCGCAGAGGGCTACAGCACTTCTGAGGGACGGCCACGTCCTGGTGGGTCGGTTGCATCTTGCACCGCGAGTACAACGACAGACTAAGATCATGTGCAGTGTACTGGGTTGTACTCGGATCATGAGGTTCTGAAGGCTGTAGAGGAACCATATGCCCTGATACTACAGTACTCAGTACTCTATTTTCCAACTGGTATCGATAGTCCGGAACTAGATTGGTCTACTTCAAAGCATTCGGACAAGTGGACAATGCATTCAGACTCTGAATGGCTTCTGATGGCTCTCCCCTCCTGTGTCCGTGCAGGTGTTGCTGCCTGTCACAAAGTCACACAAAGGTTGCTGACAGAATAGAGTATTACAGTTTGATCTGGTAGATTTTGACAGGAAAGTCACCAGCTGCTGATGAGTTATCCTTCTTTGAAAGGCTGTAACTCAACTTTGGTATCCCAACGTTCTTTCGGTTGTTTTTAGCAGATTCTATCAGTACATAGATGTGATGAGAGTGACAGAGTGTGCGGAACAAGGTCCTCACACAGCAGTGGAAGAACAAACCAACAGCGCAAGCTACCTGGATTTGATGTGACGGACATGCTCTGCGGAAACCAACAATCATTCACCTGCACCTGCATGAGACTGTGGCCATTGCCAAAAAGGTGTTAGCTGGACAAAACCAACATGCGCCTTGTTAGCTGCCTGATTTACAGTAATGGTGACTGTTGATAATTAAATGCACCCCGATATGGAGGTGTTTGACTGTCGTGGCTCTGACAGGCTGTGAGTCTCTATACAATTCTTTTGAGAGCCAATACTGCGACCCCTCTCTGTATACGTCTGTAGGATCAAATACAATCCCTCAGCGCCTTTGCAACGAAGAAAAACGGCGCAGCCATCAGCAAGAAAAGAAAGGAGGTAATGGCGTTGATACGCATTGCCCATCGCCAACCAAGAGATTCTCCAGGGTTGGTCTTTGAAACCGTGTTTTTGTATGACGCTGCAGTGGGTCATGCTGTTTTGCCGTCTAAGTATGAGGTTGGCATTACTCGGACTTGGCTGGGTCAATCCCACATGCAATGAGAACACGCTTCTTCCAAACGAACTTGAATGTTTCATCCACACGAAGAGCGATATGATAAGTGAGAGAAGTGACACCTATCGCGCTCATTAAACGCATGTTGTCCTGAAAGTAATGTGTAGAACTGTGGCAGCAGGATGGTGCCCACACTTGTGCCACCTCAGTCACTCACTCACATGTGAACTGGAGGATACTGCAGGTAGTTTATTGGGTACGCGTGATGAACAAAAAACATCTGTACAATGTGTTTACGTGTGTTTTACTAATGATCCTTAATGGAGAGCAAATCCAATGAACATGCAAACCTTTTGCTTGAAACAAACATGGAAACTGCCGCTGCCTTTTCAAGGGGTCTGGAAGGTGGCTTGCTTTTCCATTTCGATGCCAGTTTTTAGGACTTGGGAGGTGACTTTAGCTTTCTTTGCTGTTGCCAGGGAACAGGTGGCAAATCCAACCAACATTGCGCGCTTCCTCGGTGGCACCGTCGCATTCAAGGCCACCAGCCCCGCCAGATTGGAGGAACCGAGCCCCAGGCCTCAGGGCGTCTCGGGTCGTCTCGGGTCGTTTCGCGCGCGGCCACGGATGCCGCGGCACCGGTGGCCAGCACCTCATCCGGAACTACACATGGAAGTGGAGTGAACACCCGCTGCCTGTAGAGGATTTCCAGGGTCTTCCTGAAACAGGGTCCCATCCACTTCCAGGGACCCAGAAACTAACATTGGTAACATCGGACTGATGATTCTCAGGAAGGTGGGGGGTACTGCTGGTAGGAAAAGGTTCTCCAACAAAGACTACAAACACCATACAAAGACTGTGATGAGGCATGAGTCGGCATGAGCGTTGTCACGACTATTTGGTCCTTTCTCGTCGAATAGCAACCATAGTGTGTAGCGTACATTCTTGGCGGTGTTCATTATATGCGGATTCTAGTAAAAAGCAATCAATGAACGAGACATTTCAGTCCATGCTTGTCCAAAACTGTTTCCTTTACCATCCGCTTGGAACGTCTAGCCACGAATCTGGTGGGCCTTACTTTTCTTTTGATCTCAGTGTGATCTCTACAGTAGATCCCACATCCTTCCGCCTTAATCAAGTTGCCCGTGTAATCGATACACACACACACACATGCAACGACACGTCCACAGCTTGCCTGCCAAAATCACCGCAGGATAAGCATGATAGACACTCTCAACCTCGGCGGTGATGGTGTTGTATCGTTGTAAAATGTGTAAAACTAATTACATATCAAACACCAAATATGGCTGAAGCGGGTCCTGTTCTTGTTGCTTTATCCCTTTTGGCACTTCTACATTTTACGCTCACCTCACCAGCTTACGCTGGTAGCTTTTCAAAGGATAAAGGGAAGGCATCCAGCCAAAATCCGCAAGCCAGATCAAAAGGCTTCACCTTGTCGATCAATCCAAATCACCTGCATAATTAGGCCATGGGCCATAGCTATTAATGTCCTGGCAGCTTGCACCTTGCCTTGCAGGACTTTGCATCCAGCTAGAGACTTTCCATAGCAACAGGACTTCGATTGCGGCCAACGCAGCCATGGACAGTAGAGCAAGGCCTATCAGCACTGCCACAGCACCGAAGAAAGCCACCGAAGCATGCCCCAACCGCTGCGGTATCACTAGACCTGAGTGACCACAACTACGAGAGCGCTTGTGAACCCGAAGGAGAGCAAACTGGTAAGCATCTAGCCTCCATCCCAATACCAATGGCCTCCAACCTAGTAGCAATAGCCTCCAACCTAGTAGCGATGGCCTCCAACCTAGTGGCTAGTATCACTCAACTGAGGCTTTTGCCTGCTAGTAGTGAGCCAACGAACTGTGCGGTGTTCATCGTGCTGCTAATGGCAGACGCCTGGAATGCGCGACCACACAACAATCAGTCCACCCCTTCCCAGATCTTCGCAGTGCGCTACCCGTAGCCGCCGTAGCAATGTCTGTCTATGTTCTTTTCGTGTTTCAGCACGTGGCCAAAGGATGACAAAGGAACCCTTTTTGGAGCAGCAAGTCTTTTGGCTTCTCAAACCCGAAAGGGCATCACAGCTGCTGCTTCACAATGTGCCACGGAAATCTTCAAAAGCTTCAAAAGTACTGACATGTGTCACTGCTTTTGCATGCCATACTCATACTCTGACACTGCAGTGCGATTTGGAGACGCATGCCTCTGTGAGAGAAATGCCCAAGTCTGCCTGACAGCCAAATAGGATCAAATAGCCGCGTGTTGGCCAAGACTGTGCTGCAACTGTTCAGTTGTGACGCCCGTGCAGGTGCGGTCCGCGCCTTCATGATCGGCAAGAACACACCAAAGCTATAGATGGGGCCGAACGTGAACACATGGTTCCTCAGATGGCACAAATCCCATATATCTTCCCACAACATGCCTATTCACTGGAAAAATGTTTAAACAAGCAGCATGTGGCTGTTGAACTTCAAGCTTTTGCAAAACAATCAGGCTCCTTCTAGAATAGGATGACACCGCTGATGACACTGACACTTGTGAAGTTGTGAAACAAACATATCAAAAAATACACGACCAAACCCCTTGGGCCAGGGAGGGTCTCCCTATTCTAATCAACCCTTCTTGTCCTCTTAACTTGAAGATATAGCGCGACTTGCGGTCCCTGTCCGTCACGGCCTTTCATAGGCAGTGAAGTTAACTTGAAGATATAGAATGCTCAAAAGGCCAAGCATCACGAAGGAAGCAATCACCTTTTTCGCCATTGGGGCAGTGCATGTTGCTTCGCTGGAAGCAGGCCCCTCCATGAGGACTCTGCGGCTACGTATCCCTTTGTAAGAGCGTGGACGTGAACATTCAAGCAATTTCATGTCCTGCACCGAGTTTTTGTTGTAGACCAATTACTAGTAAGATACTAGTAAGATATGCGTAGACCTATGAGGCCCCTGCGCCATGCTCGTACAAGCCCCAACGGGTCATGTACTGAGTCACATCTCCCCATGGAGTTGCAGCTGCTAAAGCCCAGAGCGATTTGGCACGTTCCTCACGCACAAAGGAAATGATTTGAAGATTGAAGTTTCGTAACTCCATAGACATAGAAGCAAATGAAATCATTGCGGGACGTTCTGCTACATCTGACGTTCTCCAGGATCTTTCACATCTTTGTCATCCTTGTCGTTGGTAGTTCGTTTGGATGTTCTAGGTTTTACAAGCGGCGAATAACGCAGATGTTTGCAATTAAGCAAGGCACCACTTGGATCGAGTGAACCCTTCGATCGTTGTCCAAACATCTGTCCCCGAAACATGCGTCACTAAGGATATTAAGGCTCCACGCCTGCATGGCCTGCAAACAAGACATCAACAACAGCCAACTGTCCATAACTCTCAGGTGGAAGGTTGTAAGTTCGTGTTAATAATGACGCGTCAAAGTAAGTTGTCGATCAATTCTGTTCCAACTGTCTATGTATATATAACCAGTACTAACCAATACTTGGCGCATTCGCATGTGGAACTTCACTTTATCCCGTGCTGACAAGTGTATTCAAAGCATGACCCGAAAATCAGATTCCATTCTTGCGTGAGGGCCATTGCACCTACAAATCCATAATATGTATTTCTTGAGGCTTTCCCTTGTATTGCCTACAAGGCCTACTACCACAGACCAGCTATTCCTCAAGTCTAAGACAAAAAGAAACTCCTCCGTGCCAGCCGTCGCCTCACGCTGACGATCCAAGGACTGCCAAGCTTCCCTCTCCCGCCGCTCGGCAGCAGCCTGGACACGTCACGGTCCGCTGACGATCTCGACGGCTGCCCCATCGAACGGCTGCTGCCGCCACGGCGGACGATCGGAGTGTCTCTTTCAAATGATCTCGTGAGGACAAGAATGCTTCTTACTAGTAAGGCCAGGAGCCCCGAACGTAGCGTTCTTGCTCCTAGTAGCGATGCCAGGAGCCCCTAGTAGCTTTTTGTTACGTTCGTAGCTAGTAGTACGGCCAGGAGCCCCGAACGTAGCGTCCGATCGCTCCCTTCGTAGTGATGCCCTTTGCCCCGTTCGTAGCGTCCTTGTTCCCCTTGGATCCTTGGATCAATTGTAATCATTGCAACCTCCTCGGTATTCGTTCTTCCAAGCTGTTGGAGTTCTTCCGTGCAAGCCGTAGACTCAACTGTAGACATGGCGTGAGTACAGGTCCTGAGAACACACTTTGACAAAATAATAATGAACCGCTCCCGAGCAGGATACGGCCTAAGTGGTCCTACTTCTTATCGGGATGTCCGCCCTTACCCCGCAGTGTAGAGGCATCCTGAGAAAAGAATCAACAGGATCGGATCAAGGTAGGACTCCTAAGTGAGAAAGGACTCGCACGATGTTGTTGATTGTTTGTTTTTCATGTGTTGTTCTTTTTTTCCTTCTCTCTCTCTCTCTCTCTGTGCAAGCAATTGCCTTTTCCTCCTCCAAAGCGCGTTGCTCGCGCGGATCTTTTGAGATGGATGCGACCTGGAGATCTTGGACAAAATCTCGTGCGAAACCAGCTGAGTGGCTCAACCTGCAAGCCTTTAAGGGTAGATTGAATATGATTGAATGGTATTTGTATGTATTTGCTAGTGTCACAAATAAACGACAACTTGAAAACGAGGTTGGCCGGGTGAAGCACTGGAACTGCCAAACACAAGGCAAAAATAAATGCTGTGCCAGGCACCTTCAAACCCATGATCAACAGCAGGGCACAGAGTGACGCTAGAGGACACACATTTTTCAGCCATTTTTTTTGTTGGATGTTGATTCAGTTGTCTAAAACTATGCATTTGAATCCCTTTTTGATTGTAGATTCTGTAGACCTTACTCATACTCCGTAACCCCCTCTGTAGACTCTGAGATCGCCAAAGCATCCCATGTCTAAACGGTGCCTGCTCGGCATCGCCAGAACCTGGCGCCAAGGATCGAACGATGGTCAGCTGTCGAGCGTGGGACGCATCGCAGAATTCCATGTCTCATACTGAACGCTGGATGAACAATGAACACACATGCACACCCCAAGTTTTTGTCGTTTTCTGCGTCTAATTAGTGCAGCAGTGCAGCTTCCTTCACAGATGCATGGAGCTTTTTTAAGCGCCATGTCTCATACATCAAAGAACATCAAAGAACTCCTGTTGCCACATCAAGGGCTGGTGCCTGTGCTTTTCCCATCAAGCTTCTGCTTCAACACTTGTGCCTCAGCCAAGCACAGGATGAACAAACATGAAGAACGGAGAAACATGATGCCCTCTGGGCAGTGACCAACATCTGCTTCTCTCCATGTCTGGTGTCTTCATCGCATCCAGGCAATCCAGGAGTTCAACGAGTGCCGGCACGGGTGTTCAACGAGTGCTGACGAAAGGAACTGAAAAGGATGATCGTCCTGTGGTGGCTCGGATAGACCCGATCGACTAAACACAGATTTTCCGGCAAGTTCATCTGTCAACAAGACGAGATCTCGTCTTTGGTGTTTTTCTTCAAATCATTTCAAATCTTGTTTTCAGATCCCCTCTGTTTCTCGCCAATCCCTTCCCACCCACGCCTTCTCCCGAGCCATGCCCGCGAGCTCGTCTTGCAAGGCCTTCGTTTTGGAAGCGGATCAGTCATTGAAAGAGCCTATCAGTCATCCAGGAGAGTTGGGTGAAACTTCTCTCTCTCATCTCGTCGCCTTCCGTTGCCCATGTTTTATTTCTATGTTTTTTTTTTTAAACAAATAGGTTTTTTCAACTGGTAGACGGGGAGGTCCGTGCGAGATTCATTGCGCCACTTTTTGCAATGGATCTGTGTTGAGCCCATAATGTTCTAGGGCAAATATGATCTAGGTTCCTCACACTCCAACACGCAAAATTGAATCATACTCCCCCAAACATCCCCTGACTGTCAGATCCTGTCAGGAGTGTGCTGTTCAGACTGTCTTCCTCTACCACCAGGTGAAGGATATGTCGCCACGGAGGCCGACTCGAATTCTCCCCAGTTTTGGCATCTTGGACTCGTTATGCTGGACCCATTTCTCAGTATTGAACATTTTGGTTTGTTGGCACCTCTCTTAAAAATCGAACAACCCTCGTCTGACAGGTGGGGCATCAACGAACCTTCTCGGTCCCGGATCTGTCCGCGTTCCACTCGCTTGGTCCTGGATCTTCTTCTCTGCTTCCAGCTGCGCTCGCTGCGCGGCATAAAGATCCTCTTGTTGCGCCAGTGCCTGGCATCGCTGGGCGATTTTGTGTGTCGGACCTCCGCTGGACCGATGCTCGCACCTGGTCGTGGGCCATCGCATTGATGCTGGAGATTGACTGGTTGTGTAGGTCCTATGGGCGACATGGGCGACATGGAATTACCACAAGACTGCTGTCAAACTATTGGTCACTGCTGGCTGCCGGTGTCTTGGACCAATCGGCAAAACACAAGTATACCATGATAGATCATAGGGAGGACTTGTTGCACATGCAAAATCATGCAAATGTCACTGTGCTTCGGCCAGGGCCGAAACATGTCAGAGTCTGATGGGTCATAGGGTTTCTGGCTCCACTTTGCTACAAAGCTGCAAGACAAAGCATTTCTCAAGGCTGCCTACACAAACCATCCAACGTAGGTAGAAGGGAGACCGGTCGTTCTGCACGGCACCATGTGTACGGGCGTGTACGGGGCCCGCGGGGCGCCGCGGGGAACAACCATAGCCAGTCATAGGGAGAACGGTTTCACCATGCTCAGCTGTTGGTTGAGTGGGTGATGCGATCCCGTGGGCATGTCGAGTCATCAGAGTCATCTCACTTCGTCTGACTGTTGAAGTGGTCCTCCAGCTTCATCCATTTCGTTTGGAGCAGATCGAAGGCCCCTTCGCCCATGCTTGGCCTCCGCAAGGCGCGAATGGATTTGCTGACCAACGGCTTGTCGGACCAAAGAGAGTTGGGTCACTTCGCCTCGCAAAGAGCCCGGCGATCGCTTCATCGTTGGGAAAAATGAGATCCAAGAATTGCTGGAAGACCTGGCACGAGATGGGTATATTCATATGGTGCAATGGAGAGACAAATCGATAGAATTCAAGACTATATTACATTTTTGATGATATTTGACATGATATGAAATGATCACATATCAAAACCCATGGCCTCGCACACTCTTCATCACTCTTCCATAGTAGGTTGACCATTTCACCATCCCAATTAAACAAACCTGCCATTTCGGTCCAATTAAAGCCAAATGCCAAGGGCCCTGGGGGAGGAGCACATCTGATTTTCACTGGATGTGGCTAGTGCAAGAGATGGAAAAGCAATAAAAACGGCTTAAACATGTTAAAGTATGATAAACTATGTATAGTACATATATATATATATAAACAATTTTGAACATATGAACACGAAAAAGAAGAAGGAATTGAGGAAAGCCGTTGATGCGTGATAGATGATAAGAAAAACATGGGCGCGAAGGACAAGCAGGGACAAATAAGATCACCCTGGGGGGAACTATCAAATGTGGCTTTGTCAATTGGCTGTGACTTCCTCTCTGCCAAAGAAAACACGTAACGGCCAAAAGAAACTACTAGTAACAAGTGCCACGCTAGTAGTAACAAGTGCCTTCTAGTAGCAACAAGAAAACTATTTAATTTAATTCTAATAGTTTTTTGTTACTACTTCGTCTTTACGCACCTTTCGGTCTTCATGAGCAGCATTTCCATGACCTGAAGGCCGGAGAGTCGAGAAAAGGCCGGACGACCAGTCTCGAGACCACCGGAGACTACGGTGGAACGGAGACTGACTACTGTTCAGCGAAGGAGTTGAGCAAGCGACTTGTACCCACAATGAGAGTATTGTACGGACCCAAAAGATGCCAAAAATCATTGTTTTAAAGACTTGACATTGTCAAAGCAAAGAATCGAACATCATTGTGCCAAGGTGCGTCTCCATTCTGCCAACTGCCTCAGGAGCTCTTGCCTCGGGAAGAACGTGTCAATTCCCGATGAACTCATCTCATGCGCTGCAGGCCTTATCATCTCAACACCCCTTACCTTTGCTACTAGTAGCCTCTTGTTCCTAGTAGCGATGCCCTTTGTTACTAGTAGCTTCTTGTTCCTAGATCATCTCATATACAAGGCGCAAATCAGCTGCAGTCTCCTGTGCAGCGGCCTCCTCAAAGGCGCCATCCTCGGCGCCATCCGGGAGACTTCGCCGACTTCGACACGAGCTACGTCCAGGTCGCTGGGTCTCCAGGATACGACGCATCCGGCCAAACGAGAAAGTTGAACTGCAACTCATCCCATTCGTTCGGCACTTCATGATGTTGACCGTACAGCCACCTTACTCTCGAGTGACCGCTCTAGGAAAAGGTCGCATGGGCTCCTTCGTTCCCCCTTGCCACTTTAAGTGGTAGCGGGGCCCGAAAATGGTTACCGTGGTAGGTAGGTTCGTTGCCGTCGCGCCATGTCATGGAAACCAAGCAGGTGCCGACGTCGATCGGCGGGTGGCGAGGCGGACGAGCACGTCGGTGAGCGTGCGGGAGCGATGCCAGGGTCGGCTGGCAGTGAAGGGAACGGGGCTGCGGCGGCGGTTAGCGCTGAAGCAGGTGAGCGAGAGCACTCGAGAGCAGAGCCCGTCGAGGACCCAGCCGCTTTCTTGGGTGACGAGGTAGCAGCTAGTGTTGGGGGGTCTGAGGACCCATGGCTAGTTCACTCTGATCCTTGGTCGCGAGCTGGCGGGGACGGGAAGAGGAGGCGAAGCTGGGAGGATTCACACTACCAGTGGCATGGGGGCGACTGGTCGAGCAGTACATGGTCATGGCAATGGGGGGCTAGCGATAGGCAGTGGGATTCCTGGTCTCCGTGGTGGTGGTCATGGCCCTCCGGTGGTACTTCATGGTCTTGGCATCATGCGGGTGAACCTGAAGATGGTGGTCAACCTCGGGTACCAGGGGGTGAAGGTGGTGTAGATCGACATGTACATGGTCTTCCTCCGGGTCGGTGAACGTCCTGGGGCTGTTGATGTGGCCTGGTACAATGACTCCAAGGTTGACGAAAGCTTGGAGATGAATCCGGCCGCTTGGCCGCCAGGGTCTTGGGAACACCATAGGTTAGATGATGAGCCCAATGGGGATGCCATGGAGACATCCCTGAAGAGTTCAAAGGGGTCATCTTCAGGCGCGCGCAAGATTCCAAGCACATACCCTCCAGCCTTCAGCGCATCTCCCAGCGAGAGCTACATTGAGTGGAAGCGGTCCGTGAGGTGTTGGATCGCTGGAGAGGGAGGACAGTTGCCAGAAGAGGTCATGGGTCTCCGGTGTTTAGCCATGTTGAAGGGTCGCGCTAGTGTCATTGTCCGCCACTTGAAGATTGAGGAGGTGAGTCAGTCCGGCGGCTTAGATTTGGTCTTCCAGGCTCTTGAGAGTAGCCCCACCAACGCGGTGAAAAAGCGCAGCGCGAGTTCCTGCGATGTCGGCGTCAAGCCGGTGAAAGCATGGAGAGCTTCCTGATGCGGGTGCAGGCTCAACGAGCCGTGATGGAGGAGGAGGACCCGACCTTCGCAGTAGGTGACCGGTTCCTTGTGGGCTACATCTTGGACCATGCTGAGCTCACGTTGAAGGACAGAGTCATGGTCCTTGCTGCAGCCCAGAATCAGATGTCCTCCGTTTGTGTCTTTCCTGCCCTGCGCCGCATGGGGCCTTTCTTGCAGGGCACAGTGCCGATTGGGGAGGGAGTCATTGATGCTCCATTGCTTCCTGAGTTGCAGCCAGACCAACCATCATCCAAAACAGCCACCGCCCATGAGGGCGGGCGTGAAGGCCGCCGTCCGTGGCAACCCTACAAGGTGAATGTCGTGGAGGAGGTGAGCGGCTACAGCGGCGGGGAAGATGGCTGCCTTCTCGGCCTCGCAGGCCAAACTTCGGGCTTTGAAGCAGGCCCGTGGTTACTTCCAGAAAACAGAACCATCTGTGCAGCCAGATCGTCGTGAGCGCCTGAGGAAACTCATGCAAGAGAATCCCTGCCGCGGATGCGGCCAGTGTGGACATTGGTCTAAGGACCCTGAGTGTCCTAAGAATGCCAAGAGTTCATCAGCGTCCTTGGTGACCGCCCCAGCACAGTCTTCCGTTCCTTCTCCGGAGCAGCAGGCAGAGCATGCTGCAATGTCCGCAGTCTTAGAACAGATGATGCGGGGCCAACAACAGGCAACGCCCCGAGCATATATGGCTGCGATGACTAGTTGGGAGGGTAGCACTTCGTTTTCGTCTGGGGACTTTGTGACCTTGGTGAACACCAGCAAGAATGGTAGTGGATTTGGGGTGTTTGCGGACCGTGGCCGGGGTGAAGTGGGTGGTTCAGGAGATCGCTCGATGTCGTGCACAAGGTCGGTTTGTGGAGATTCGCAAAACATTGGATTATTTCAGGTTTGGCGATGGGGAGAGGCGACCATCTCATTACAGAGTGTTTTTGGAAGTAGGGTTGGCTCAACATGTTGGATTGTTGGCGATCAACGCCGTTGAATACCCATGTCCTCCTTTACTCTCAAAAGGGGTGTGTTCGGCCTTGGGACTTCAGTTGGATTGCGGGTCAGGCCGGTTTGACCTGACGAATATTGGGGTTCGTGGACAGCATTTTACTACATCACAAGAATCACAAGAAGGACATTTTTTGTTGAGCGTTGATAATTTTCATCCGGCGTGGCCCCAATGGCAACAATTGCTGACAGCTGGCCATATTCCCAAAATCCAACATGAAGAGATCCAGTGTTTTGAGCTGCGTTCTGGAGAGCCAGTTGGACGAGGTGCTCGCCGCGCTCGCCCTCACAGCTCTCACGTAGCAGTTCGAACGACTGTGCGTTCACCGAGCCCTTCACGTCCGTCCCCTTCGATCCATGGCGGCGCAACGGCGGCGTGCAGCGGCGGCGGCGGCAACTCCCCAGATTGTGTCGTTGACCGACGGGGAGGAAGAGTGGGGGTCCGAAGTGGAGCCAGTGGAGGAAGAGCCATCGCTGCACCGGAAGACAGCCCATGGCACCCGCCTGGACGAGAGCATGGAGAAGCAAGCCACGGTCAAGGGCTATGCAACCACAGCCCAGGCCAAGAAGACCAAGGGCTCAGTGGCAGCGGCATCGACTCTGGAGGGCGAGACCGACCAGAAGAACCTCAAGAAGGTGTCAACCAAATCCTTGTCCAAGAAGGAGCAGGTGCTGGCAGTGACGGGACTCAATGCCGAGTTTCCGACCCTGGGGATGACCCTCAGCGGGGACGCAGTCTTCAATATGAGCTGGGTCAAGTGGAAGCAGCTCGTGTGGATGGCGCGTGCTCGGAATGCCCTGGAGGCGGAGGGGCGCCGCTACAAGCGCCACCCCCGCTGGTTGGCCATGATGTTCTCGCGAGAGACGGCCGCTCTTTGGGGACACCTCGGGGGCGCTGTGAAGACGCTGCAGGGGCCTCGCGGCCCGCCGCTGATGAAGTGAGAGTGAGCCAATCCATCACTGCGCCGCCACCGTCACAACATGCATGGAATCGAGGACAAGTGCAGCGGTTGAAACACAGCATCAAACAGGCAAAACATGCAATTACACAGTTGACATTGGTGGCCAAGTGCAGTGAGCAATCTTGTTGGAAGGTATTAGAAAATTTTGGTGGGAGCGCCAACTTGTCACTCATTGCGAAGTCGACAGGGAAGTGGATTGCACTGGAGCCGGTAGATTTGATGTATGGGTCAGATTTGTTGACACCTCAAGAACAAGCATTGGTTCTTTCTCAACTAGATCAGTGGGAGCCCGATTTGGTCTGTTTGGAACCCCCTTGTGGTCCGTGGTCTTCTTTGCAGAGCCTCAATCCTAGGAAGGACTTGTTGGAGTTCAAACGTGCACTTCATATGCCTTTTTGGACCTTTTCAGCTAAAGTATGGAAGAAACAGCATGCAGCAGGTCGTTTGGTGCTTTTGGAACAACCATTGCGGAGTGCCGCTTTATCTCTTGATTGTATGCGCGATCGACCAGCAGTTTTCCGAGCGGTGGTAGATCAGTGTCAGATTGAACTGAAAGGATCCCATGACTTCCAAGTTGTATCGGAAACGCACTGCTTTAGACGTCAACTCAGAGATTTTTGCAGCAGCGCTCATGCATCACGGGCTTTGTTCACATGCACCCCATGAACATGAGGTCATTGAAGGTCAAACTTTTGTAGATGGCAAATGGGTCAATCGTTCCTTGGTGGCCGGCATGTGGACTCCGTGTTTTGCTCGCCACAGTGGCGTGAGCACCTTCGTCACAGATTTTGAGGAGGGTTGCGCCGAATCACCCGTGTTTTTAGAGACCAACTACCAGGCTCTGACTTGCGCTTGTGTGGGTTGCTACAACCTCGGGGCCTCGTGGTGTCCGACCTGTAGGACAGGGTGGTGTGGGGAGTGTCGTGATCGGCATTCGTGTTTTCCTCATGATGAAGTCACTGCCGTGTCCGAACCTTGGGCACATGCAGCGCTCACAGCTGAAGAAGGGGATCGGGCTGAGGCTTGGTCAGAGCATGGGGTGGTGCCAGAAGACATGAAAACCGAATTAGCTGTTCGTCATCTTTTCAAACGCCTCCAACAAGAGGAAGAAGAAAGGAAGGGTGATTTCAGTGGGATTGGGAGTAGGTATGGATACTGCCATTTTGTTGGACCTTCACTGAGGGTGAACAAGGCCATCAGAAATCAGGTGGCCAAACTGCATTCGACCCTGGGCCATCCTTCCAATGAACGGATGGCTCGGATGTTGAAGCTGCAGGGAGCTAAGTCCGACGTGGTGCAAGCGGCTCGAGATCTCCGCTGTGAAGTATGTTCTAGGATACACCCCACAGTCTCGGCCACGAAGTCATCAGCCACAACTCCGGAAAGATTCAACAAACATTGCAGTCTGGACTCATTCTTTGTGCTGGACGCTGATGGTGTACGCTGGAATGTGACTCACGTCGTCGACGGGTTTTGCTCCTTGCAGTACGCTGTTCTCTCCAATCCAAGAATCCCTCAGCACAGACTAGTTGCAGTGTTTTGTTCGATCGCTGGATCCTCGTTCACGGACCTCCAAAAGAGATCTCGGTAGATGGAGGCCCTGAATTCCGAGGCAAGTTTCCTTGCTTGTGCCAGTTGTTTGACATTCACATGCATGTCCATCCCACGTCAGCCAAGTGGAAGGCAGGTCTAGCTGAAAGGCATGGAGCTATTCTCAAGCTGATCTTCTTGCGCATGATCCATGAGCTAGTTCTCAACAAGGAAAGTTCCCTAAGCTATGCTCTGGCTATGGCGGTTCAGGCCAAGAATCGCCTCATGAGGCGGTGTGGAAAATCACCAATTCAAGTAGTTCAAGGCCGTGATCAGGTCGCGCCCTCGTCCTTGTTGGAACAAGTTGATCGAGCTGAGGTGCGCTTTGCTTCCAACAGCCAGATTTTAGAAAATGAAGAGCACCAATCCATGGAGCGTATGCGGCAAGAAGCAGCTGCAGCCTTTCATTGGTTGGATTCACATGAGCGTCTCCGAATGGCTTTGAACAGTCGTAGTAGGCCTCCTCATTTGAAGGCTGATGCGTTAGCTCCTGGAACGGTGGTCTATTTCTTCAAGCAACCAGGCCAGAACAAGAGGCTGCAAGACTTTGCAACTGGCTACCAAGGGCCGGCAGTTGTGGCATGTGCTGATGGGCCGGATCGACTTTGGGTTCGGTACAAGGGCTCTGTTGTTCGGGTTGCTCTGGAGAACGTGCGCCTGGCTACGCCAGAAGAGGAAGTCGGGCCAAGTTTCATCATGGATGCCTTGAGGACTATGGAGGAAGAGCTGACGGGTAACCGACGGCCTCCAGGCTATGAAGAAGAAGGAGAAGAGGCGGAAGCAGTTGAAACTGTTGGCCCCAGTTCAGGTGACCTTCCTTCCGGCGCCCCCAGCGAGACGCAGTTCCACTCAGGCATGACAGGGGCGGACCCGAAGGAAGGAGTCCTGGACACCGCGCCACCGGTCTCAACTGCTCCAGTACCTCAACCTACACCCGAAGTTGTGGCCTTGGCTAAGGAGTCAGCTGACCGTTGTCGAGTTCTAGATGGCTTGCCACGGAAATTCCGAGCTTCTCCTTATGAGCTTCAGCGCCCATCGACAGTGACAGAAAAGATCGAATTCTTTGAACGTGGAGGCGATGAGACCTGGAAATCCATCCTTTCCCAGGTCGATGAGAAGAAACCATTGCCATCGGCACTTCAACGGCTCTCCGCCGAGAAGGATCTTCAGGCAGTCGACAATGCTATCGAACAAGGGTTGCAAGAGCATGTCCGACAACGTGATGGGGGCGGAGAATCCATGTTGAAGACACCTCGACTTGAGAATGACTTAGCCTCTGCGATGCCTGTTGAAGCAGGGGTCAGTTCAGTGGGTCCGTGGGTTGCTGAGGCCAAGATGGCTCTGGAAGCATGGGCTCTGCAGTCTTCGACATCTCTTTCAGAGATTGAGCGCATGAAGGCCATGATTGAAGAGTTCGATGGCCAACAAATGGAGCTTGAGCGGGGTCATCGGGCAGGACCAGAACCTGGACCTCGTGGAGAAATATACTTCAAGGACATGACCCCGACAGAACAAAGGTTGACCGTGCCAGCGCTCATCAAGGCTCTGGACATTCATTTCCAGTATCAAGCTGTAGAGCCAGTCCCCTTGGATACCCCAATAGCCAAGGAAGCCACTTTGCAGAGCAGGTTTGTCATCGTGAACAAAAAGTGGCTCCAACGATTGTTTGGGCCCAAGGGACGGTTGTGTGTGGGGGGTCATCGAGATCCTCAAGCTGGGGAGTATCCCACGTCATCTCCAACAGCTCAACTACTTGGGCATCACATTCTCCTGATAGTCATGGTTGGAAAGAAATGGAGGGGATATGGTGGGGACATCACTGCTGCCTTTTTGCAGGGAGAACCCCTTCCTCGGGACAAGCCGCTTTACATTTGGATGCCCAGAAAGCTGCCAGCAGGTGTTGTGTCGTATCTTGATGACAAGCTGAAAGGATACAGAACTGATCTCGTCAAAGTGGTGAAGGGCGTTTTTGGTTTGAATGAATCCCCTCGCTTGTGGTACTTAGGCCTTCGCAAACACTTGTATGCCTTGGGCTTTCGGGAACTGTCTTTAGCACCATGTGTCTTTGTTCTCCATGTGAAGGGGAAGCTTGAAGCTATGGCCACTGTTCATGTAGATGATGTTCTTCTAGCCGGCAGTGACTTGGCAGAACCTGTCTGGGAAGAACTCAAGACTCGTTTGACTTTCGGCAGCTGGAATTCCATGATCGACGGCTTCAAGTTTTTGGGAAGACAAATTGTGCAGGACGCTTCCACTCTAGAGGTCACCACCAATATGACCGAGTACTGTGCTGACTTAGAAGAGGTGATCATCGACGCTCACCTTCCTGATCAACAACCCTTGACTGAGGCACAAGTGACGGACCTGAGATCTGCTGTCGGTACGCTAAGTTGGGCAGCACGACAAAGTCGTCCCGACGTGTTGTTCTTAGTATCTTGGCTCCAACAAAGTTTTTCAGATCCTCAGGTGAAACACCTTCGGCAAGTGAACACCGTCATTAAAGCTCTCAAGAAGGAGCTTCCCTTGCGGTTTGTTCATTTGGGTTGCCCCTTGGAAGAGGCCATTTTTGTGATTTCCTCGGATGGAGCCTATGGCTCAATGCCCGGAGGACGTTCTCAGCAAGGTTGGTTGGTTGGATTAGCAAACCCTGCCATCAAAGATGGCGGTGCTCGCATGAATCTGATCGAATGGCAAAGCACGTCATGTAAGCGGGTTGTGCGGTCTTCCATGGCCATTGAAGCCTGTGCTGCCTCTTTGGCTTTTGAACATGGAGAGTACATCCGTGCCCTGTTTTGTGAAGTGATGTGTAGCGATTTTGAAGTGAAGCGGTGGGGACATTTTGTTCGCTTGTGGGAACTGATTCTTGTTCTTGATGCCAAAACGGCTTTTGATACTCTTCAGACTGAAAGTCTCCCGCAAGACCGCCGCACGGCTTTAGATTTGTTGGCCATAAAGGAATCATTGTTGAATGAAGCCAATCGGGCTTTGTGTCGTTGGGTTCCTGGTCCACAACAGTTAGCCGATAGTCTTACCAAAGACAAAGGCAATAGACTCCTCCCAGACTTTTTAGAGTCCAACGAATGGTGTCTCCGGGAAGATGCCTCATGGCAGAAACAGAGGGCTCGTCAGAGAGCCACTCAGAAGATCTACAAAGACCGTGTGAAGACGCTTCGCCTTGAGGCAACCCAGGGAGGTACCAGGGTGAGTTGAACTGCAACTCATCCCATTCGTTCGGCACTTCATGATGTTGACCGTACAGCCACCTTACTCTCGAGTGACCGCTCTAGGAAAAGGTCGCATGGGCTCCTTCGTTCCCCCTTGCCACTTTAAGTGAGAATGAACAAAACGTCCCAATTTGGGTTGAATACAAAAACAACACCAAAAACAAATTCAACACTTTGAATATTTCCTGAGGCGCGCTTTCTAAAGTGACACTGCCAACTTGCACGATTTGAACTTTTGAGATAACTTTTGTATAGTCGACAATTTGAGAAGGACAAGCTCCAAGTCTGCCTTCACTGACGTTTAAATACCATGGTCGAGACTAAATCGTTTGCCAACGCTTCTTTTCTGCAACTTGTGCATTTCGATTTTCTAAGCGCCAAACGCACTCAGGGAGCAACTCGTGACAGAACCGCTGGAAGGATTGCCGATCCTGTTTGTGCCCTCCCCTTCCTCAATGCCAATCCAATTAGTAGTAAGGCCAGGAGCCCCTAGTAGCTTCTTGTTCCTAGTAGTAAGGCCAGGAGCCCCAGTAGCGTCCTTGCTTCAGTAGTAAGGCCAGGAGCCCCTAGTAGCGTCCTTGCTCCTAAGTGTGCACAGTTGTATACACTTGTTCATTTCTTCCCCAAACGGATGCCTCTCCGACTAGAGGGACCTCACACTCGTGGCAAGGGAAAGCGCTTTGAGACCCAACCCCATCTTGCTGGCCAGAACAGTCTTTATTCTTGACCCTTTTTGTGCACAAGCTCTTGCTCCACCCATTCCTCCGTGAGAATCTTGTTGAATCGCACAACCTGGCCAAATCCGTCAGATCCATCTTCTAGGCATCAAGCAAACTGCCGGCATTGTTGATTCACCCGACAAAGCATATTAGGTCATTCTTCTTACCGCATCAAGGGTAGTGCTTTCCAGTCCATCCCGCCAGTTGCTACTACTAGCGTGGCACTTGTTACTACTGGCTTCTTGTTACTACTAGTAAGGCACCTGTTACTACTAGCGTGGCACTTGCTACTACTAGCTTCTTGTTACTACACGCTAGTAATTATAAATATCTCACATGAGCTCTAGCAGGCTTGGCCTGGCAGGACGCCAATGCCTATCAAGATTGACATCAACTATGGAACGAACATAAATTTAAGTTTGATGGGTCGGAACCACCCAGTGGTTGAGGCACAGCCAAATCCAGCCAACCACATCAAAAGTGACACTCCGATAGAACGATGATGGATCGATCCAACAAAGGCACCCGGCATACTCCCAAGTGGTTCCAACCTTCACATATCTCTCCTCAAGCTTCTCGATCTTCAACTGCTGCGCCTTTAGCTCTTTGTCCTTGCTACGGCTGGAACGCCACGGCATTGCATGACACGCAGTTATGGTGCGAGAAAATCTTTCAGATCAAAGGAATGGATGAAGCAGGTTCCAGGAAAACTGGGGAGCGTTGTCGTACTCAGCACGGGCACTCAAACAATCACTAGTCAGCAAGTAAAGCTGGCTATATGGTGGTTTCGCCACACAAACAACATTAACATGGTTGTGGAGTTCGCCCTCAGCTAAGAAAACTCTCAAAGATTTATTTATTAACAAAGACTTCGGATGACTTGGGCCCTCCCGCAAGAAAACCATTGCGTAATTAGATTTTGACATCTTTTGATCATGCCCAAAGTGCTAAATGCAAAGCAGGTCTTAGCAGTTATCTTGGATCTTGTCAAAAAAACACAAAGAAAATGAACGCTTTAGTACAACATTGATCAACATTGGTTGCAAAAGCACCTGAATGAAGCTGCTCTTTGTCTTACCGACCGGAGATCCCAATCCGTCTCCTTTCGCCGCAGAAGTGCCACAAGCGTATCCTCAGGCTTGTAATCAGCGTATCCTCGACTACTCGTTTGGTGTGGATCGACTGCAAAGCGAGCGGTGTCCCATCTGTTCCGATCCCATCCGATCCCCAAACGGATGTCTTAAACTGGTTGTGTCCTTCGAAAAGGAGATCGAAAGCGCTTCGATCGCTTTCTATGTTCCCTTTTCGATCTACGGTTCCTTTTAATGACTGTGCTCCTCATCTCAAAAACTAGTCTTTGCTGGTCACTTCTTGTGTGCAGCTCCAGAAACTCGAGGAATATTCTCGACAGCCTGGAGAGCTTGGGAGCACCCAGTCGCGAAAGATTTTCAAACGACTTAGACGCGGAAAAATGCAGCTGGGAGTTGGGAAATGACAGGAAGCATCACCAGGAGAAACTTCTGAGTCGAACCTCAAGCCAGAAAAATAAGGCAGGAGCCGAGAAACACATGGAAGATCGGACGAAAAGGAATGAGGTTATCACGTGTTCTCACTGTGTCACACAACCTAAGAGTGATGGCCTCCCACCTAAGATTAAGTTTCCCTAAATCTAGGAACCAAATGAATAGTGCCAGCGCTTCTTCAAGGAAGCTCCCCCCTAAAGCGGGGGGAGCTTCCTTGAAGAAGCCTGAGCTATCCTGCCTCCATGATAGTCTCTCCCTCACTTAATTAAGTAGGCGCCTACTTAATCAAGTGGGGAGGGGGGAGGCCCACAAAAAAGATGACTTCCGCCGCTTCCGCCTCTGGGAACCTGAGTGGAACCCCCTTTTTTTTCATTCTGCCAAGCCCGCTGGACATGTTTCAACGGAGATCCCGCGCGGGATCCAACGGTAAATCCCCGCTGCAGGGCAGCAGTGAACCGTGAGGCGTGGGCGTGAACTGGTGTGAACGGGACGGCCAGGTGCGCGGGACGGCACGGGGGTGGAGTATGGTTGAGTGCTCCCCACTGAAGGGCTGGGCTGTATATCTCAGGCATTATCCAGATCACACATCAATACTTAGCTTGCCATGTTGCATACCAAATATCCCACCATGGTGCACTCCCAGATACTCCCAGACCAAGACAAGCACCACAAGTCCACTCTCCATAGTCTTTTGTTTGGGAAAGTCCATCTTTTGGCTGGAGACGATTTAGCACTCAGCCGCTAGCCCCTTCAAGTTATTTCAAGTTTGCAGTAGTTTGATTGGTAGCGTTGATGGAGGACCTGGTTAGGCTCACCCACTGTGAGGCGGATGCAGCCGCATGCCATCTTGCTATGCAAGGCTGCTATCAAACCCTGCACGCAGGTGGTTTCAATCGTAGCACCCTGAATTGATTTGACGACAATCAATGAGCTCTGGTAAAAGCGCGACCTTAATATACCTTAACAACAGCTCAACGCGATTTGGCCACTGGGCACGTGTGCAAAGCCGACTGAGCCTGAAGCTCCAAGTCCAAGCCATTTTTCTCCGCCATTTGGGTGACTCAGCCCATGGCTTTGATAAGTCTCGGATTCATGGTTTCCTGGTGATGGTCCGATGGTGGGTGTCGCAAACTTGGGCCACAGTCCCTGTATGGTTCAACTTGAATCCAACGAAAATCAACAAACATGATCAAACAGTATTGGGTTCAATTTCAAGTGCTTTATTGTGACGCTTTGTGGTTTGGATGTGTTGGGCTTCGAAGCCGGGCCAAATGACGCCTGCCACGACTTTCGGGTCGGTCAAGTGAGCTTAGTCGATTGAGCTCTCAAGCTGCGGCCACGAATTGACTCCACACTGAAAGGGCCATAACAACAAAGCATAAATAGAACCAGGTACCATCAATTCTATGACATTAGTTCGGTTAGTTTTAGGATGACATTCAAGCTTCGGGTCGAGCTCTGAGAGTTTGACTACAAATGGACACGTGGACAATACTTCAAATAATGCCAACTCAGAGCTCCTTGTGGTTGACTCGACTTGGGGGAGCGAACGCAACCGACCCAACCGGTCGCAACGCGCGTTGCTCGACCGCGCAACGAGCGCGACGACCATGGCAGAAGGGGCGGACCCATTTGGGGCTCGCCGCGACATGCCCAGCAGAAAGTCTTCCTGAATCAATGAAGTACACGTGGAAATGCGTACCTCATCGTGCCTCTCTGTGTGTGTGAGAGCAAAAGCTGTTGGATGCTGTTGGAACTGCCTGGTATATGAGTGTTGACATGACAGGCTTTCCAGTGCAATCTGTGGGTCGGTTGTGATGAAGCGGTTTTCATCAGGTTCCAATAATTGAATTGATGTTCCATTGGGGGAAAGCGAGGACGAGAAGAATGGAGACCTTCCTAGTCGTCACAGGGAGGCCCACTATGTCATAGGTCAGAATATGAACAAATGGCTTCCCCAAGTCAGTCTCTACTATCTGGCCAGATCTATACATTGACCATGCCTCTTCTGTTAGCAAGAACGCTCTGCCGAACCTGGCATGCTGTTCCAGGATGTTCAAGATGTTGAGCGAGCTGGGATTCAAGAAACGAAGCAAAATAACGTGCACCCCAAAGCCACAACAACTGTCCAATCATCCAATCTAGTTCTTCTTCTGAAACAACCTTGCTGAACCACGAACAAACGTGGAGGGGCCGCGAAGAACTACCACCTCCTGGCTGGGAAGCAGCTGTGGGAATGCGCCCTGGCATAGCTGCCACAGTGGGAGTGCAAAATCTCTTCCAAGCTCGCGTGGCGCAACAAGGCAACACGTGGCTACATAGATCATGGCAACCCAACACTCTTGTTGACATCAAAAAACGACCAAATCCAGATAGTCGGTGTTGGTTTTGACCCACAATGTCTTCAGATGAGCCACGGTCAAAACCTATTCCTAAATCAAAGGACGTCAGGATTTGGTGAGTGTGTTACTTATGGCTTTTCAGGTTGTGTAAGCATGCCGAACATCACCGAAGGGCGGCTTGTTCAGCTTCTGGCTAGACACTGCTCCGTTGAAGGCCACCAAGTAGCTGTAGAGTACCCTGAGACAGAGAAAGCCAGACAGCCCAGGAGCTCGAGCAATCGGCCGATGGACATCACTCGGAGTGTTTAGAGATTTGAGCTGGCCTCATGTCATCCAAGGGCAGATTTGTGTAAACCAAGTGTGCATTGTAGAGCAACGCAGCATGCCGAACACAAGCAAATTGCTCTTGCACCTTGTCCTCAAAGCAGTGAATAGATGCAAATTGAAGCTTTCCAAAGGCAAAGCAAGAGAAGTGGCAAACTAAGCCTAATGAAGTGCCACGTTGCAGGGCATTTGCCGGTCTAAAGGTCAGTGTCAATAGGTCTCTCTCACGTCTGCGAGATGGGGTCCAGAAAGCAGTGAATTGATACGCAGGTGTTGCGTTCCACTGGACCTGAGCGCCCACGGACACATCAAATGTCTGAAACCGTGGACAGTCGGCCACGCTGAAAGTTGTTCAGATGTAACATCTCAATTCCTCTGAAAAGAACTTGCAGTGTTGCTGCTGCCCAAAGCATGTTTGCGTCTGGTAAGTTTGGAACACACACAAAACATCACAAAACCAACACAGCAAACGTTGCCATCAAACCCTTCGTCCCGACCCTAGGACGGGTCGTGGAGGTCGCCTTCCCTCAGGCGTGAGCTGTAGTGGAAGCCCTCCAGTTCTTGGAAGATGCCCAAATCGCTGGCAACCTCGGCCGACTTGGGCGGCTGAGGCGACGATCTCAAGCATCTAATCAAGAGGATAGCAACTAGGATCATAAGCATTAGTGAAATATTGTAAAACAGCAAGCATGCTGGCCTATCGGTTAGGCATCTATCAGGTAGGCAGTCTACACATACGCTATCCAGGTGTTGAAGCGCAAAAGCGGACAAAGGTGTCATTTCCTTAGCCCAATGCCGACATTAAATCAGCTAAGCCCCACAAGGGTGTTCAGGGTGGGCCCCCTACCAAATGTGCAAAAAGACTGGGCAAGTAGGGCAACACTAGTCTTACACTACTCTTGTCGGTTGCTCACATGCCATGGTCAATCTCTTGAAGTAAAGTGCCTTTGGCAACTTTCCGCTGATCAAGTCGAAAACTCTGGGTTCCCCCACCACTGTTTCAAGAAAGGCAGGCACAAAGTCCTGCATTGGTTTCACGTCAGAACAGGCACATCCTCAGTCCTCTATCTGTCCATCCTCTTTTCAATTTCTTGAGACTGTTCTGTTCATTGCTGGAGGTTTTGGTTGGCCACAATCTTCCAAACAGTTACACCAAGCCTCGAGTCTTAGAGCGACTGCGCGTGACAACGAGTGACCCGCAAAATTGGGGCGGAGAAACACCCAACCAAGCCACGTGTTGATATTATCTGTCTTGAGGTTAGGGACTGTTCTGCAGGTCCTTTGAGAATCCGCCGGCCTGCCGGCGTGTTTTGTGGATTGTTTTGGTTAGTATTACTTGTATTGGTCAGTATTGCTTGAGTATTGCCTCTCCGCGCGAGATTTTCGACAGCCTGACGCCCCCCCCCCAGTAGTGGTAGCAATAGTAGGTAGTAGGTGGTACGTAGTAGATAGTAGGTAGTAGGTAGTAGGTAGTAGGTAGTGGGTGGTAGGTAGTAGGTAGTAGGTAGTAGGTCGTAGGTCATAGGTCGTAGGTCGTAGGTAGTAGGTCGTAGGTCGTAGGTAGTAGGTGGTACGTAGTAGGTAGTAGGTAGTAGGTCGCTGGATCAGAATAGACAACCATTGGACTGAGACATGTCGATCGCTGGATCAGAATAGACAACCTCTGATTCGGATTCGTTCCATTTCATTGTAAAACGACTTCGCTTGAAATCCACAGCAACAAACTCTCCCAGCAAAATGTGCAACTCCAATGCGCCCACAAGTCTGATTGAGCAGGGTATTGTTGTTCGATGTCATTCTGGGTCTTTCATTTCAAACGGTTTGGAGAAAAAAACGACAAATCATGCAAGATCTAGAAATTCTTCGGTCGCTTTGAAGCCTTCTGTGTGTGAAAAAGAATATCTGGTGCGTGTCGCAGTCCCTCGAGATGGTCGAAAAAAAGATCTGGAAAGGAAAAAATGCACACGGCCAAGTAGTTTGGAAGAAGAATCGTTTTCAAGGTCATCTTTTGTGGATAGTCTTGGTTCGCATTGCTTGTGTTGGTTTCACTTGGTTCCTCTTAGGTGATTCGACTGAGACATGCCGGTTCGGATCGCTGGATCAGAATAGACAACCTCTGATTCGGATTTGTTCCATTTCATGGTCAAACAACCTTGAAATAAACATCAACACCCAGCCAAATGTGCACCTCCAATGCACCAACAAGTATGATTGAGCAGGGTATTGTATCATTAAGCTGCCTGCCAATGCGGGCTCGAGCTGGTGGCCGGCGGCATGCCGAAGGCTGTAAATAGTCTGGTGCATTGTTCTGACGCAAAATGCTGCAATATGTGGTACTACATACTCAAGGGACTCTTCTCTAGGACTCTAGATTGTCAATTGACCTAGTATGACATTACATGACATTACCCATGGCCTCAAAAGGGCAATAGCGAATAGCGGCACTGGCTGGATCTCCACTGGTGTGGCCAGAGTTGTGTGCCGATTGCGATGGTCCTCGAGCAAATCGAAGAGTTTGTGCATGGACTGCGCCTGTTGGAGGAGCACTTGCGGCAAGGGCACGGCCAAAATGCCAAATAATTGCAAGTTGATGGCTGGATTTGCAGGCTGGCCTTGATGAACGATTGGACTTCGCCATGCCTGATCCAACGGAGACACATTCAAAAGACTCCTTGTTTTCAACATCAAAGTCCTGTATTCAAGTTTCTCTTCATTTTAAGGGAAAAACAAGGAACACTGGTTGGGCTTATGGGTGGATGTTGGTTGTTGACGTAGCCGTCCTCAGGTTCGCGGTCATGGACACGGCATGCCACGGCCATACTGCCTGCCTTCTTTAGTTAGTATGAACTTTTGTTCGTTGGCAAATCAAGTTGCCAAGGATTGGTTGGCCAACTTCTTTAGGGACTTCTAGTTTTAGAAAATTATTTGATTGGAGAGAGCCTGTTTTGAAGATTAAAAACAAAGTCAAACAAGTCAAAGTCAAAAAAGTCAAATTAGAAAGTATCAGCAAGTCAAACAAGTCAATTGGTCCAGATCCGACTTTGTTTTAGATGTGTTTTTCTAATTTTGTTATTTTTACTTGTTGTTTGCTTTCTATTGCTATTAGTTGACATCTCTTTGTATTTTTCGAGTTGGTTTCTAATCATTTTTGTTTGGTGTGTGTTTTTCCGTTTAAATGACTTTGATTGACCTTGTTGTTCTTTTTCGAGTTGTTTTCTCTTTTTGTATGTTCTCTTTTTTGACTTTTTTCGACATCTTTTTTCGATATGTTTTTGCCTTTCCCATTTGACTTCTTTTTTGCTGTTTTGTTTCTCGACTTGTTTAAATCAAGGATCCTGGCCTTACCATATGAAAGAATCTAATATTCTAGTTCTAGTTCAACTCTTTTCCATGCCCTTCCAGATTCGTGAACGTGTTGGGCTTGGGGCCTGATGAAATCACACATGCTCTAAGGTCCCGGCAGTAAGCGGAAAACATTGTAGCAGTTGCGAAGGACTGCCTGAGGAGAACTTACATGAAAGCCAGAGTGATTCTTGGGCTGCTTGCCTTGCTTGGGTCTGTTTTGCCCAGGACCAAGGGAGCATCTCTAAATGAGAATTCCCCGCAAGAAAGAGTAGAAGAGCAACTGACCCTGGGCGATTTGGTGTGTCACTGCAGTACTGTTCCATTTTGGCGCAGGCAGGCAGCCTGTGCTGCGGCAGTCGAAGTGAGACTTCCTTTCAAAGGAGCCACACAGGAGGTCATGATAGAAATTCCCTACAGAAGAGAATGCATGCTTTGGTAGAGGTGCGCAGCCCACAGCAAAATCCATGATGAACAACGCCTCGCTTGCTTCACCAATACATGAAAGATTTCTTGAGATCCAAGCCATTCAAGCAACAATGACACTGAATGCTCTTGAACCCAGACCTCTTGTTGACCTCCTGTTTGGATCGCTTTGACTGCCTAGGCCTAGATCTACAATTAGCTTCTGGAGCTGAGCTTCATCGATTCAAGAGATGGACGCCGTGAAATGCCATACAAACGCCAATTCTGCACTGCACACTGTATATCGTGCTTATATTATACATTGTGAATACATGTACATATACATATATATAGTATAACTACACCGGAAGAACATACTGTATGTGCCATTTGGATCCCTTTGGCGTGTTTTTAGCCTGTACAGATTGTGCACTCATCTCGGGGGATCATTCTTCGCGCCACCAATTTCTGTGCCTAAGACTGAAGAGGAGGATCAGGTCTCCTGGTTCCAATTGGTCCTGAGCGACCAGCAACGTTTGTTGCACGTTTGAGTTTGATTTTCTGCAACAGAGGCGCTCATCACTACGTCACTACGTCCAGTGGTTAGCAGGGCTCCCAATACTTGGGTACATCACCAATGTAGACATGTTCCCGCCATCTTCACCAACCTGGGTGCCCTGCGTGAAAAACTTGCTCAGCAGGCGACCAGGCTATCGTGGATGCTGAAAGCGCTGGGAAAGTGCCAGCGAAGAACGCTTGGATACCCTTGGTTTGTTTGTCACATGTCACCACCTGCCCTCCAAGCCTGCCACTGCCCTATTCAGCCGTGTTGCCCTCCATTTTGGGAGCTGGGTTGCCCTGCAAAAACCCAAAGCGCGGAAAGGAATTGGCTTTAAACAAACACATGACAATGCTTGAGATCATTGACCTGTGTGAGACAGGTGCTTTGCCAGTCATGTGTCCTGTGGGGCCCGAGCATTCCAGTGCAAGTGGTGCGACACATTGATGTGTCTTGCTCATAGTTAGTCATGTGTCTTGTGTGGCCCGAGAATACTCCATCAAATGAAGATTGGCAGGGTAGATGTCACTGATGGAGGCACATACAGCTCTTGACTCTTGTGCTTTTCGGTAGAGTCAGCGCTCTATGTCACGTGTGAACTGCTGAAGCTGTACTGCTGGTTTCAGATCAAGGATTGTGTTGTCAATGTGTGCATGTGTGCCTGGATTTTCAGCTGATAAAAATACCCGCCCCTGCACATAAAGAAGACACCGCAAAATCGCAAACTACTACCAGCTGGACTCTGAAACCGACGACAGCTCTTAACCACATGGCGACGGGAAGCGCACCTTGCGTCTCTGTCTTGCAAAAACTATACCTTTCCCGCTGGCTTTGCCCTTGACTTTGTGCCCGGTCAGCGGCATGGAGTCCTCAGCTTCATGGGTACTCTCCAGATCGTTGAGGTTCCTTCACCCAGTCTTCAATGCCAAAGAGCCCCTTTGACCATCAGAACATGTTTTTGTGCCTGCTCATTCGCTTCTTCTGCTGCATGTCTTTTCCTATCCCAAAAAGGGTGTCCAATTTAGTTCTACATGGTTCTACCAGTAGGTCTCTACTTGTCGGTGAAGCGTGAGTCAATTCCCATACTCCCATGATTCATTTGGCAACTCAGGATGTTCATTTACCATCATTTCCGTGGATATCCTGATGGACATCTGATGTTACACCAAGCCGACTTGGGCAGCCAGGCCGGGGCTTCAGCGGCCTTCAGTGCGGTGTCATCCTCAAGTGGCAGCGTTCGCTCGGCGCACGTTGCGACGCTTCATGCTGGTTCTGACTTTGGGGCCCCAATTGAAGCACTGATATGGACCCTCTTATGGCCGACCTAATACAACATCATCCATGTGCCCTTTGTTACTAGTAGCGGCGTTGCCCCTAGTAGTACGGCCAGGAGCCCCGTTCGTAGCGTTCTTGTTCCGTTCGTAGCGATGCCCTTTTTGTTACGTTCGTATGCGTCCTGGCTTGTATATATATAATATGATATACACATCCATGTCTGACATCCTCGCAAACTCCCTGAAACACCACATGTGCATCCCGACTTCGATCTGCTTTTGACCGACCGAGCCCAGAGACGCGGGCGGCGCGTTGCGCCTCCGACTCCAAAGAGCCGTCGCTCGCCAGGTCTCAGGACGGTGATGGTTGATTCACCGGTGAGTGTCCGGAGATCCATCGAATCACCAGGTGAGTTAGGAATCCAAACGATGGAAAACACGTTTTATAAACTGTTTGAAGCTGAAGAACAATCCAGTCTGCAAGTTGATCCGCTGATCCGGATCGACACACTCAACGCAGAATCGACGAATCAACGAGATCTAACGCAGAATCACTTGGGATCGGCATATCAACGTGAAAAAAGGTGGCCAACTCAAACTTGCCCAAAAGCACTCGCCGAACAAGTTCCTTTTCCTTTAAAGCAGCGGAAGGTGATCGGAGCAGGTCTTGGGCATCCGGACGGTAGTTTTGACCATCATACATGCTGACTTGCCAGCAAAGTCTCAGCTGGGCTGGAAACCTTGATGGATCGAACGGTCGTATGGGAAGTCAAAACCGCTGAGACCAAAACCGCTTTCCGTATGCGCAGCGGTTTGAGCTTACGCGGCTGGGTTTGTGGTAGAAAGGGCTTACGCCGGGCTTGCGCCACAGCAATGCACTCAAACTTCTACACCCCAAGAGAAAAGCTTAGGCGACGTTTGAAAGACCATCCAGGGTGTCGATGATTCGGCTGCGCTGCTTCACTTGCAGTTGTGAAAAAGGAAGCTGTTTGGTGCCATGAGTGGGCAACTGATTAGAAATCGAAGTTGTCTTTACGCGGTGCATACGCGGACCTTACGCCAAAAAACAATCCATTGTCAGTGCTCTGGGGGTGGTGTGAACTTAAAAGTCCTTACAACCAATCTACTTCAACACTTGCCTGTAGTCGTGAAGTGAACGTCAACACGGCACCGCTTCGGAAAGAAGTGCCCGCAAGGTATATCTAAGAACAAATAATAAAGAACAACAAAATCCTTACGCAACTTGTTATGTTGAAAAAAACCTTATGCAACCTTACGCGCAGCGGACTTTTGCTTACGTCAACCCTCCTTATGACCAAGCTCTTAACAAAAAATAACAAAAATGTAAAGAGAGGTTTACGGCGTGGCTCATCTGACCTGTGTGCAGGTAAGATGCACACATCTGTGGAGTATGCATTGGAACATACTGCCCCTCTGGCTCAGGAGGATCTGTCCTATGTTATATTATGTACAATCATGGGGACTTGATGTCCAACATTCCGATATATTATAGCTTATTGGTGTTTGGCATTTGGTCAACCTTCGTATTCTTCAGGGTTTATCTTCTTTTGCTATAAAACATCATGTTTCTTGCTTGCAAGTGTTGCGAAGTGGATCGAACATGACAGTTTGCGAATTCCTTTTGGTCCAAGTCCAACATATTTAGTAACAAGCAAGCACAAGCAAGTGCACGTCAGTGGCTCTGGGTTTGTTTGCCGTCCGCCCAAAGTGAACCGCCAAACAACGAACAAAACAAACAAACTGACCAAGTCCCCGTCGCCGTCTTATTCCACCCCTGTCAAGTGCAACACTCGCCGCTGTCAAGAGATTCAAGTCCCGCGGATTCAAGTCGTCCAAGGCACCCAACTTGGTCCCGCATGATTTTCTGTTCGGTCCGCACTAACAATTCACCCGTGAGCTTCACAGCGTTGGTGAAGTTGACCCTTGGAGAAAAGAGAGGCTGGGTCATGCTGGGTATTGCTGAAAAATCTTCTCACAAATATCGAGTTAATACACATTGAAAAGATCATGAGCAAAAATCGGATCTTGGCAAACACCTCGGATGTTCCGTAAGGATGCCCATAGCAATGCGTTTTTGAGCGTTCCACACCCTGCCCACGCCGCAGAAAAATGCTCTGTAAAACAAAATCTGACCTTGTCCTAATTTTGTAAGACATGTCAGGAAAGAAAGGGTCCGAGATAGTGTGAGGTTCAACCCCAGCGGGATACCCTGTGTCAAAGCATGCCAAAGGCATGGTGAAACAACCGTTCACCCGCGCTGATACGGGATACCCGAGCACCGTGGGTTTCGACACCCGACGTGGGTTTCCCACCGCCAAAACGAATCCGGGAGCTTCCCCAAAGGCTCGCTTTTGACCATAATAGGCAAAGCATTAAGTTACACCAACTTGTGGTTTCATGCTTTACCCTATGGAACTCCGCCCACCACAACATAAACACATCACAACCTTGATGACCGTGTGTCACTCAACCGTTCGACTTGTTCGTCTCAGCTGCCAGCAGATGTTCCGAGTTCTTTGTTTGAAAACCTCCAGGCCTCCAGGTTCCCTGAAAAAAAAACCACAGGCCTGTTTGTTCTTTGTTTGAAAAAACCTACCTTTTGAATGGTTTAGCTGAAAGGATTGACTTGTGAATCAAACTTCTGTGGATTTGCACCAGTTGTGCGGCGACAGTACTGGGGCCGGGTGATTTGCGTAATCCTTCACCACAAAGGAAGGAACAACAAAACCGTGGGAGCGGTCGGTACTGACTACTCCCAGCCCGCTGCCCCAAGGGTGTGTGGCTGCGGACCTTCGGCAAAAAGGCCTTTCGATGTGAAATGGTCCGTCGACCTCTCACTTCCGGCTTGTGGTCGACCCTTTGACCAACATATTATGCCACAAAAATACCAACTAGGAG